TTCAGCATCTTAGCTGTAGAGGGCAGTGTCACTGGCCCTCATATGTGGGATCTGAACCGGGGCCCTCTGGCATCCCAAGCCAGTTCTTAACCAACGCGCCACTTGGCCGGCCCCTAGGGTTGCTTTTTGATGGAGATGAATGATGACTCAGGTCCTCCTGCAGCCAGGCTCTGCCTGATTTCAAGCAATACAGAGCATCTAGCATACAAGGTCCCCAGAGCAGTCAGAGGTGGTGTCTGACAGGTTTGATGTGTCTGACTGGGCTGCTTCTGAGGACCAGATATTTTGGTGATTTAGGTGTGAAGCCCACAGAGCTTGGGGCTCTTGTCCTGAGGTATTTTGCATGCAGTCCTACATCCTTGAGGTAGTGCCATCAGTTAGGGTGGGAGTAGAGGGTAGTGGGATGTGTGGTACAGGGCTTGACCCAGGAAGGCCCTCCAGGGAGTTCCTGCGATTCAGATGACAACTCCTAAATTGTGATATTCAGTTGCCTGGAGATGGGGACAAATCATGGAGAATGCTGCGAAATCCAAACCCTCTTTGGTGACTCCCTCTCCAAAAATAGGGACATGGGAGAGACTTCTGAATTGTTCAGGTTCAGATTTTGCTGGGACCTCTCCTTCTTCCTCCTCCTTTCCCGCCTCTTGAGAGCAGTCCGTAGTGGTTGCCCCTGCTGAAGTTGGCAAGTAAATTCAGTGAGGCCACAACCACCATTTTTTGGCACTTGGCACCATACCAACATACAGCAAGAACTCAACCAATATTTGTTAAAGAAAGTCAACTTGGAGCTCAGGAGGCTGCCTTCCTTTTCTTCATAGAACAAGGGCATGCAACAACAGTGACAACATATCAGAGCAGCCAACGAACGTTACTGCACTTGGAGCTGTGATACCGGTTTGATGTGCTTTCAGCTATTCAATCCTCACAATAGCCCACAAGGTAGGTTTTTTTACCAGTCTAATTTTCTAGGTGAGAACATTGAGGCTCAGCTAGATGAACTTAACTTCTCAGCCAAGAGCTGGCAGGTGGGTTTTCAATCTGAAACCAAAATTCCCAGATTTTTCAAGCTTTGCTCCCCTTAATTCTATTCTCCCTCTGTGACCACTCTAGGTACAGAGCAGTTACCCCAGCTGATGGATGCCCTTTCCTGACCTCTGAACCCCTCTATCTGCAGACCTCCCTGAATTCAAATCTGAAACACTGGGCAGGGGATTTTCTGAATTTGGGGGCAGATTGTAAGGACAATGGGACTTAGAGTTTGTGGCTCTGTGGGTGCTTCAGGCCCTGAAGTGAAGGGACAAGAGAATGACTGCCAGCCATTTGGTAAGGTCTGCCTTGTCTGCTTCTGCACATGCTGCCTCACCTCCTTTTCACTGCCAGGCTCACCAGGGTTGGGCTGGACTGGCCCTGTCTCTGGTGAGGGTTCATGGGACATAAGAAAGCCATATGGGAAAGCCAGCAGTGGTAGAGAGGGTAGCCCACTGGCTCTGGGGCATAACGCTCCTTGCACCTGGCTGATGGAGAGGACAGCTGTGGGGAGAACAGCTTCTGGGCAGGCAGTGATGCCCTTCTGGCTAAGTCAGACAGGGATTCCTTGGACTTCTCAACTTCCAGCTTTTGCCTCTCTCACCAGGAGAAACCTCATATCTCTTACATCCATTTGTCCAGATATCCTTTACTGATCACCCACTGGTGCTGGCCCTTTGCTGGGGTGTGGACAAGTCTTCAGTTATCTATCACACATGCTAGAATAAGTACACAGAAGGGTGAGCTGTGGGGGCACCAGGTACCAGGAGGCAGCCCTGAACAAACAAACATTTACTCCACAGCTTATGTAACTTCTCATTTAGCCTCAAGTTCAGACTTGCTATCTCTTTGCTCAGCTGAGCCTGCTCATCTCTGAGGCCTGTCAGACTTGTCTTCCATAACAACATCCTATGCACAGCACACCCTGCTCAAGAGCCCTCTGAGCTTCCTGTTTTTATGCAGGAAGTGTGCCCTCCTCTGCCTGGCCTCTGTGGCACTCACAAGCTAGTTTACCCTGTAAAGCTGACCACCTGGGCCCTCGCTGAATCCAAATCTGGCTGAACATCAGGCTTCACCTGAGAAGCTTTTATTTTTATTTATTAGGGAAAATTTCAAACATATAAAAAAGTAGAGAGAAGAGACTATTGAACCCCTATGTACCCATCACTCAGCTTCAACAATTATCAATTATTTCATTTATACTTTTTCTATCCCCTTCTACAGAGTATTTTAAAGCAAATCAGACATTTATTTCATCCATATCTAAGTCTGCATCTCTAAAAGATAATGGCTCTTTTTAAAAGTTCGATATAGCAGAGGATCTGAATAGACATTTTCCAAAAAAAGACGTACAGTTGGTCAACAGGTAAATGAAAAGGTGCTCATCATCACTGATCATCAAGAAAATGCAAATCAAAACCACAATGAGATATCACCTCACACCTGTTAGAATGTTAGATATCACCTCACACCTGTTAGAATGTTAGATATCACCTCACACCTGTTAGAATGTTAGATATCACCTCATACCTTTTATAAAAAATAAAAACAAAAACAAACAAAGAAAAACAAGAAATAAGTGTTGGCAGGGATGTGAAGAAAAGGGAACCCTTGTGCACTGTTGGTAGGATTGTAAATTGGTGCAGCCACTATAGAAAACAGTATGAAGGTTCCTCAAAAATTAAAGATAGAACTACCATATGATTCAGCAATTCCACTTCTGGGTATTTATCTGAAGAAACAAAACGCTAACTCAAAAAAATATATATATATACATATATCCCCAATATATATATATATATATATATATATATATATATATATCCCTGTGTTCAATGCAGAGTTATTTATAAAAGCCAAGAAATAGAAACAACCTAAGTGCTCATCAATGGATGAATGGATAAAGAAAATGTTTTATACACAATGAAATATTATTCAGCCATAAAAATAAGGAAATCTTGCCATTTGTGACAACATGGAGGAGGAGTCTTGAGGGCATTATGCTAAGTGTTATAAGTCAGGCAGAGAAAGACAAATGCCACATGATATCACTTATATGTGGACTCTAAAAAAGAGAAGCCAAAAATGAGCTCATGGGGGCCGACTGAGTGGCGCGTTGGTTAACAGCTGGCCCGGGACGCCAGAGGACCCCGGTTTGGGTCCCACATATGAGGACCAGTGACACTGCCCTCTACAGCTAAGATGCTGAACAACAGCTCAACCTGGAGCTGGGCTGCCATGAATCGTCTGCGACAGCGTAGGCTGCAGCCCCTGCTGCAGTGGGTTGCCATGGGCTTCCGTGTGTAGCCAGCAGCCAGCGTGAGCAGCCAGCATGAGCGGCCAGCATGAGCAGCCAGCGTGAGCGGCCAGCAGCCGCAGTGAGCGGCCGTCCAGAAGCCGGCGACTGATCTGCCTCTCCCAGGAAGAGCACAATGATGGTGCCAACTTGGGCCAGTGAAGCAACGTCCTCCACAACTAGACTGAAGAACAAAAGGACTGCAACTTGTATGTTCTCCTTTCCCCAATTCCCCAGCGCTGTTCCCATCCCCCAATTCCCCAACAAAAATCTCTAAAAAAAAATGAGCTCATGGATACAGAGAACAGATTGGTGGTTGCCAGAAGGATGGGGGTGCAGTGAAGTGGGTGAAGTGGGTCAAAAAGGTACAATGTAAATAAGTTATGGGGATGTAATGTACAGCATGGTGACTATATTTATTTATTTTATTTTTTATTTATTTATTTTTTTAAAAGATTTTTATTGGGGAACTGGGGGGATGGGAACAGCGCTGGGGAATTGGGGGAAGGGGAACAGACAAGTTGCTGTCATTTTGCTCCTCAATCTAGTTGTGGAGGACGTTGCCCCACTGGCCCAAGTTGGCACCATCACTGCGCTCCTCCTGGGCGAGGCAGATCAGTCACCGGCTTCTGGACGGCCGCTCACTGCGGCTGCTGGCCGCTCACGCTGGCTGCTGGCTACACACGGCAGCCCACGGCAATCCACCGCCACAGGGACCGCAGTCCACGCCGTCGCCGGCGACTCATGGCAGACCAGCTCCAGGTTGAGCTGTTGTTCAGCATTTTAGCTGTAGAGGGCCCTCTGGCATCCCAAGCGAGTTCTTAACCATCGCGCCACTCGGCCGGCCCGTTGGTGACTATATTTAATAATACTGTAGTGCATAGTTGAAAGTTGCTAAAAGTAAATTTTTTTTTTTAAGATTTTATTGGGGAATTGGGGGAGGGGAACAGTGCTGGGGAATCAGGGGAAGGGGAACAGATAAGTTGCTGTCCTTTTGTTCTCCAGTCTAGTTGTAGAGGATGTTGCTTCACTGGCCCAAGTTGGCCATCACTGCGCTCTTGCCGGGCAAGGCAGATCAGTCGTCGGCCTCTGGATGGCTGCTCACACTGGCTGCTAGCTATACATGGTAGCTTATGGCAGCCCACTGCAGCAGGGGACTGCAGCCTACGCTGTCGCTGGCAACCCACGGCAGCCCAGCTCCAGGTTGAGCTGTTGTTCAGCATTTTAGCTGTAGAGGGCAGTGTCACTGGCCCTTATATGTGGGATCCGAACCAGGGCCCTCTGGCATCCCAAGCCAGTCCTTTTTTTTTTTTTTTTGTTAGCTGAGCCATCCTGCTACCTGTTGGCAGCTCAGTGGCTGCTCAGCTCGGGCTGGACCAAGCCAGTTCTTAACCAACGCGCCACTTGACTGGCCCGCTAAAAGTAAATCTTAAAAGTTCTCATTACAAGAAAAAAATGTAACTATGTATGGTGACAGATGTTAACTAGACTTATTGTGGTGATGATCATTTCACAATATATAAAAATAGCAAATTGTTCATTATGTTGTACACCTGAAACTTAGTTTATTGTACCTAAATAAAATAAAAATAAATATATACACACAAATCACTTCACTACCATTCTATTACGGCACCTAAAAAGTCAACTATACTTAATATCGTAAGTTATCTATCATGTTCAAATTTCACTGATTGCCTGATTTTTAAGTAATTGATTTGAATTATAATGTATGAAGAGATAAGAACCCCCAACATTGCATTTGGTTGTTATGTCTCTTTTTTTGTTGTTTTGTTATTTTTCTTTTATTTAGGTCCTTTGTCCAGTTTGTACTGGAGCATTTTGGGTTCTTTATTCTCATTTCCCTTTAACTACAAACAACACACCCTGTGTTTCTTCCCGTTCCTCTGCCCTCCCCACATGCTGACTCAGCTCCAAGGTGTGCAAGGCTGCTTGCCCAGGCGCAATCTCCCTGGTTGTTGTATCTCTTAATCCATGGGTTCCTCTTCCTTTTTTTCTTCCTTGCAATTTATTTGTTGAAAAAAGTCGTGTCTTTTTTTCTTTAGAGTTTGCTGATTGCGTTCCATGGTGTCATTTCACAGGTTCCTCTGTCCCTTGTGTTTCCTATAAATCAGTAGTTATGGGAAGCTTTCAAAACTGCACATTTCCAGTCCCCACCCTAAAAATATATTTGGTAGGACTGGTGTGGGTGTTGGGGTTCTCTAATTTTCCTAAGATCCCCAGGCAAATCTGTTTGCCTCATGTTTGGAAATTGCCAGCCCATCTGATTCAGCCAGTAACCACAAATCAATCCTAGTCACACCAAATATCAGAGGTAAGACACTAAGGTTCTAATCTCCAGTGGTGGGCAGTGGGGTTAGGGGTGGGGTCACTGCAGGAGGAGGCATTAGTTGTCTTTTGTGGGTTAACTGAGATTCACAGTGGGGACTTTCTGGGAGCCCCAGGGCCTGTGCCTCTTTCCTCCAACCTAGGTTAGTGAAACTTCTTAAGTTATCAGGACCTTCCCTGACCTTGAGGGTTTGTGTCGGGGGAGGCATAATAGTCATGCTGCTGTGGCCCCTGAGGACACACAGGGTGGGTGGCTTCACCTGGGTCTGAGGGCTATGAGATGCTGACAGTACCCCCCTTCTGTTCTGGGCTGCTGCGACAGGTGGGCCTGGGACACAGGCCCAATCCTCTCTTCCTTCTTTTCTGCTGATATTCCCCCACCCCACTCCCCAGGACCAATTATCCCCTTAACTGCTAAGACATTCCAGTGGTAACAGCCAACACCTCACTGCCATGGCACACAACAGTCAGAGTGATCTATCATCTACAGCAGATCACCTCTCTACCCTGTTCTAATCCCTCCCGTGCCTTCCCATCACATTTAAGATCCACACTCCTCATCAAGGCTGACAAGGCCCACAATAGTCTGGTCCATGCCTACCTACTTTCATCACATCTTGCATTTTCTTTTTCCTCTCCAGCCACACTGACCTTTCTGCTGGTCCTAGAACAAGTCAGCCTCATTCCTACTGCGGGGTCTTTTCACTTGCCATTTCCTTCTCCAGGAATACTTTTCCTCCAGCTCCTCACATCGCCACTGAAGTGTCACCTCCTCAAAGCTTCCCCTCACTACCTTGTGTAATCTAGCACTCCTCATCGTTCTAGTCTCCTATTTTCTTTATAGCAATTATAATTACTTGAAGTTATATTGTTTTCCTTATTTATCTCTTCCTTGAGTTTGCAGGTGCCTTGAGGAGAGGGGTTTCGATGATTTCATTCAGCAAAATATCCCAAGCAACCAAAATATCCCAATTTATTGAACATAGGTACTCAATAAATATTTGTTGAATAGATGGATTTGTTGATTGATAGATGGAATGGTATCTTCTCAGTCCTGCCTTTCCTACACACACACACACACACACACACACACACACACACGGAAGTACTCATCAGTCTCTGCATTTCTTAAAGAACCTGCCTGTGTCTTGCCCCAATTTGCACAGGTGTCATTGCAGGAGCCATACAGAAGTTGCACCCAAGTGTCCTTTTTGGAGGCAGATGGTCTTATCAGACCAGGTACCTCATTTGGGAAAGTACTTCAAAGGAAGAGGAAGTTTTGGGCCTGGCCCTGAACAACAGGATTTCAAGTCAAACAGTTACAGAAAATTATTTTATTGAGCAGTAAGGGATACCAGAAGGGCTAGAAAGGCTGGGAATAAAGGAGCATGTGAGACTCAGACGGGGTGCTGCTCGACTCTCTCCATCTTGTTCCTACTCCAGGGAGCAAGTCTTCCTGGGTGTCTCTATTCTATCTCTTAAGACCCCAGCCGGGAGTCTCCCTGGGTAGCCACAGATTGCTTCTTTTAGTTTTAAGAAGCCCAGCTCCTCATAGTTTGTGTTGGTGGTCGTTGGCAATGACTCAGGGCAGAAGTCCATCTGGTACACTGGACCTTGCTAAGGTCACTTTGCACCTTCTCTCTGCTCCTGGGTCCTACTCAGCTCAGAGAGTGCAGACTTTTCTTTCTTCCGCCCAAGAAGGGACTCTTGAAGATTGAGCAGAGGAACATCAGGTTTTCTTGCAGGCCAGCTTCAGCCCTGGGATGTTCAGAGCAGCCTCTCATTTCAAACCTCAGTTTCTGAGGCTCCTTGACCACGGCCGTTCAACATGGAAGGAGGCCGCTAGCTGAGGAAGGCTCAGACAGAACAGCACAGGTTCTAATCTCCAGTGGTGGGCAGCAGGGGTCACTACAGGAAAAGGCTGTCTTAGGCAATTAAACGTTTGCCCTCTCTACAGAGTGCCTTAGCCAGCAAGCTTCTGCTGGGTCAGCCTCCTGCCACCGTGCTGCAATCGCTGCATTTTGGAGCTGGAACAACCTAGATCTTTGTCTGACTCCTCCAGAAGTCGACGTCTCTTGGGAGCCCGTCTGGGGACTGGCTTCTTTGCTTCCACCTTCACTGGGGTGGCCACAGGAGCATCCCCATAGGTCCGGTAGCCACCAACCAGGCAGTATGTCTCCCCATGCCAGCCTACCTGGGTTTCTCCACACCCTCGGTAGAGGACATGGTAATGACCAGGTGTAGGAGGAAAAGTGGGAGCCACTGCTGCTGAAAAGAAAATCAGAACTCATCAGTCACTTCTGCTGTACACTGACCTGCCAGGACCTCCCCTCTCTCATGTCTCTCCCAGTTTCTGGCTGAAGAATTCTAATCTGCTTGGCATCCAAAACACAGCCTTGGCCCATCATCTCTATGAATCCCCTAGAGAAGGGATATTGGCTGCAAAAGCAATTCTGTGGGGCCTACGGCAGCAGCAGGAGACTAGAAAATCTGTTCCCCATTCCCAGAGAAAACCAAACCCGAAAATAATTGCAATCAGGATCCCCTTCATCTCTCCCACAACAGAGAAAAGTTTTCTTAAGGTCTGTCACTTCTGAGTCTTTAATGGAAATGCTTTTCAAGTACTGAAAAAAATAATCTAATACAAATCGGTTAAGAATCCCTCCTACCTTGGCAGCTCCCCTTGGGCTCCATTCATACTGCCTATTTCAACCACATTGAACTCTAGCCCTCTGATACTTTCATCTAGATTAGAAAAAGGCCAAATACTGAGGCAGAGAGACCAGGAGGTTCAGAGCCAGATTCTGGGTACCACGTCTAGGCTCACATCAACCCAGCCTCCTGGGACACCATTTCCTCAGCCCTCCAGTCTCAGTATCACTTCATCACTCCCCTGGGATCTTTTCTTCTTCCCATGGATATGACACCACCCTTTTCTCCAGTACTCAGCAGCTCAGTCAGGGATGTGTCTGAGGAGACCCATGTGGATGTCTACATGACAGCACAGTGAAGGTGCCTGGGTTTGAAGGTGAGGTTCGTGAGCGGCCCTCAACAGCTCTTCCTCAAACTGCTCCATTTATCATTTGCCAACAAAAATGCACTTGACTTTTGCTTAGAGGCCAATCAGTAAAGGGTCTGAATGGAAGTATCTTATAGCCTAAAGGGAAGACTACATTTATAAAGATTAGAACCTTTATGAACTTCTGCCAATGGAAGACATTGCAATGTCCTCAGTAGTGAGCAGGAATACTGCGGATCTCTGAGGGGGTCCCAGGCCACTGGTACTACTTATAGCTAGGGAAGTTCTGAGGCAAGCCCAAAAGCAACATGTCGCAGCCAGGTGAGGTTGTGTATATACCAATGCCTCTGTACAGATGCCTGGCCTAGGCCTACCTGCTGTGCTGCACTCCCAGGGGACAGAGGACAAGTTAGAGTGAATATAGAAGATCCGATCAGACATCTCTCTCTCAGGCAACCAAACAGATTGGTATCTGGTAAAGAACTGGTAGGGAAGTTTCCCCTAGAGCACCATGTTTGCGTAGTTACACTGCCATGGAAACTGTGAGAAGGCCTGTGAGGTTATCACTACCAAGTGAGGTCACAGAAAGAATCTGTGACTTGAAGGACAGGCTTCAGGCTCTGTGGAGAGCAGGGTGGAGGCAGAGACACCCTGCCTGGGCCATCACTCCTGGTCCTCACCATCCATGCCCTAGTCAAGTAGCCACTCCCTGTGGAGCATACATGTGGGCTGGCATAGTGCAAGGGACCACAGGAGGGCAAGAAAAACCCACATTCTGAGATAAGCTTAAGAGGCAAGATTAACATAAGACACAGCTAGGTTGTATGGCATAGACCCTAAGTATTCAACAATTGGAGAGGCAGAGATTTGTGTGACTGTAATCAGGGAAGGCACCTTGGTGGTGGGCCTGAAGCACAAGTGAGATTTGGACCTGTGGCGAGGAGAGGGAAGACATTCTAGTTGGGAAGAATAAAAGCAAAGTCAAGCTCTTCTTGACCTTGTCCTGCCTCAAATGTAAATTCATGGAACCCTCACATTTTTAGAACTAAGAACTCAAAAAACCAAGAGGTTAAGGGGCCTACCCAAGGGTACACAGGTAGTGGAAAAGTGTTCTGCTTAAAGGTAGGGCCTCGTGTTGGGGCTCTGGATTTATAACTGATAGGAATGTAAGGACAAGCTCATCATATTTCAGAGGCACACTGGGAGAGATGTTAAAGGTGCTCCAAGGCAAAATAAGGGTTCTGAGTGGCTTCACAAAGTGGGAGTGATGGGCCCATTTTAATATGAAATTCAAAACAAATTCATGACATGACATAATACAAAATGACAACCCAATCATTATATTCCTCTCTCCCTCCAAAAGGCAAATAATGACAATTCCTCCACCATGAAAGGATGAGATGTGGGTGCAGCAGCAGCCCAGGTGAAAAACACGGTCAATACTGTGAAGAGATGTTACTAAAAGACGATTTATCCTACTCAGAGAAGGAAATAGACAACTCTGCCCTTAGCATGATCAAACCCATAGTAAGAAACTGTATTTGGTGCACCCTTTGATACAGTATGGCCAAGAACTTACTAGCAATGAGAGTTAATCTTCCTTAGGAGGGGGTTCCCTATCGCTGACCTTTGATAAGCAGAGGTGGAACATTTGTTTACTCGGGTTGTTGCAGAGATGTGCTCAGGAGGTAGATTCCTTAGGTTCCTATTTTAAAGGTTGGGTAACTCTGGTTGAGAACCACAGCATCTTCTCTAAGTTGCTTGAATTAGCATGGTGCATGTTAGGACAGATGAAATCAGGCTTCATTAGAGCAGTACCTTTGGGGAGTGGCAGGAGATGAAATGTGCAGAAGGCTCTGGAGAAGGTTCATACTGGCAGGTAGGCCAGCATGAGACCACTCAGATTCCCCAAGGCGCCAGAGAGGTTGTCTGGGAGCATCACTTTTATCTGAGGAGGCTACTGATACCTTCTCAGGAGCTGGCTGGGCCTCTGGGGAAGGCAGAATAACACAAATGGTTTATCAATTTAAGAGAGCTTGAAACCCACCTAGGGATTCCACAAAACAATTGAAAAATAATTATATGTGAATTCTTGGGCCAACAAATCCTAAGAAAACATCCAGATCTGGAGTGGGGCTCAGTAATCTGCACTTTTAACAAGCTTCCTGGGCAGTTGTACCACAGGGGCCCATGGATAACGACCAAATTATTGTCTAAACTGAGTCACTTTTGAGAATCACAGTGGGCAATATTGAAAACTGTGCTGGGCATAGATGTAAACAAGGAATATTCAAGGAAAACAGAGATGTAGTTATTCTACACATGAATCACATTTGAGAAAAGCTAGCGTGGTGAAGAACATAACCCTTGGTGCAGATAGACCAGAGTCTGTCCTACTTACTGTATGATTCTGAGCAAGTTCTTTTATCCTTCTGAGCCTCAGTTTCTTCATACAGAAAACAGAGTTACGATTGTACATTTAGTACAACATTCTCTTTTGGCAGTTTGCCCTGACCCCTTTGTTCTCGGCAACCTTATCCTTTTCAGTGTGCAAGTATTTTAAAGTTGTTTTGTGGAGTATTATATTTGACTCTCAACTATTCATTATTTTAGGCAAAGATTATATAATGTTGCAGAGACTGGAATCTAGGAGATAAAGAGAAGATGCTACATGCTTATTTTTTCAGTTTTGTAAAAGTTTATTCCTCTCTCTTCTGCCACCTAGGGATGGGAAAGAAGGCAGAGGTTGGAAACGAACACCAGCGAATACATCTGTCAGTCTGCCTTTTATTCTTCTGCCAGTATTTCCCAGAGAGATTTCACCAAGAGTGCCCAAGCTTGCCACGGACGTTACTGGTGAAGAAAATTTCTTGCCTCTAGTCACATCCTTTCCCATCTCGTGTAGGGGCTTAATGGATGTTTTGGGGGCAAGAAATAAAATCTAAATGTTTACAAACTAAAACATCAATTGAAAGAGCCTTTGTCCTAGGTGTGGTAGTTTGGAGTGTTTTCTCAGAATCGAATGAGTTCTGCCCCAATGGTAACTATTATTAGCGGAGACCCATAAAAACATCATTTGTTAGAAATCATGACATAATACAAAGCCAAAATCTACTTTATTTTTCACAATGATGTGAAAGACTACAGAGCCATGCTCATCCTCCAATGCTGGCCAGCAGCTTACCAGGCCTTCAAGGAGGTGACTGGGTGGCCGGAGTGTCCTACTGACAAGTATGTTCACCCACCCAGCACACAGGCAAATATCCATTAGGGCACATTTAAGCCAACTGGGTCAGAGGCTCTCTCACTGAGGATTCTAGTCCTGGAAGGCTTCTCTTCCGGCGAGCTGCCAGCTCAATCTTTTGAACCAGACTCACATCCCAGGGATGGGTAACAAAGCTGATGACGGTGCCTGGCACCTCACTCCCCACACGGCCCACCCTCCCTGCTCTGTGGATATAGTCTTGCAGGGTGAGGGGGAAATCATAATTGACAACTAGCTCCACATGGGTACTGTCCAGGCCTCGAGAGGCTATGTCTGTGCAGAGAAGTATGTCTTGGGAGCCCTTCTGGAAGGACTGGAAGATACCTGCCCTCATTGAGGCTGGCATTTGTCCCTGCAGCCTTAGGTGTTGGATTTTGTGGTCATCCAGAATATATCCCAGCCAGTTCACAGTGCTGGAGCTATTACAGAACACCAGAACAGTTCCTGAGGGGCCAGTCCTACGTGTTCTGTCATGTTGCTTGAGGATCTGCACCAACTCAGCCACTTTCTCCGCTCCCTTCAGCCTCATAAATGTCTGTTTGACATGAGGCATGATACAGTGGAGCTGGGAGCTGGTGATGGTGGTTATAGAGTCTGAGCTGGCGACTTTACTCAGCAGCTGGCCTACACCTTTGGGAAATGTGGCCCCCACCAGCACCAACTGAGCTTTGGGATTGAAGGGATCTTTTAAGTCATCTGGGCCTTCTGCTATATGGCTCTTCTCCAAGACATAGTCCACGAGTTCCAGGAAACTTTCATCCAACAGTGTGTCTGCCTCATCCAACACCAAGAAGGACAGCTGCTCCAGGCTGATCAGTTGACGTTTCAGGGCTTTCCACAGAGCCCCCGGAGTGGCCACTAGTACATCTGCTGGAGGTTGTTTGGATAGTTGCTGCCTGATCCTACTCATGCCATGGCCTCCCCCTAACTCCCGCACCTGGAGTCCCAAGGAGCAGCCTAAGGGCTGGGCCACAGCCCGCACCTGTTCAGCTAATTCTCGCGAAGGCACAAGTACCAGGCCTCTGGGAGCAGGGATAGTGAGGGAGTCCAGGTTTGGCCGGCCTAAGAGCCGTTGAAGCAGAGGTAGTAGGTAGCTGAGAGTCTTGCCACTGCCTGTTTCCGCGGCGCAAAGGATGTGGCGGCCGCGAAGTAGTGGGGATATGGTACTCGACTGCACGGTGGTAGGCCGAACGACTTCGGGGGCAGCCTCCTGTAGTGCTCGCAGCACGGGGGACTCCAGTCCCAGATCAGCAAAGCTGCGCTCAGACAAGAGATTCCGTAGCGCTGGCGCTTCGTGTTGTGCGCGCTCGATGGAGAAGTGGTCCCAGCGGGCACGCCGATTTTTCCAGCCACGCGAAGCTAGTGGCGCGCTCTCCCAACGAGCCAGCGTCAGGCGCGCCGGCTGATTCAACTCCGGCCGCCGAGCCGAGATCAGCAGCCGGCCAGGTCGCACCAACACCGGACGCGGGGGGCTCCGCCGCCCGCTCTGCCGCTGTTCCTGCCGCCGCAGTAGAGCCCGTGGGATGCGCAACACCGGCAGGGGCTCGTCGGGACCGCTAACCGCCAGGTCCCGTCGAGGCGCCAGAAGCAACCGAGTCGTAAGCAAAGAAAGCCGCAGCGGCCGTGCTAGAGCCATATTCTTCGGCGTGCTGGATAGGCGCACGGCAGTGACGTCACAGGCGCGCCAAGACCTTGCAGATGGTGGCTGCCGTGGCTCAGTAAGGCACGCGGAATTGGCGAACCGTGAGGAAGGAGGGAGGATCTGTAGAGTTCAGCAGCGGCGAGGTCTGTAGGTCCGAACAGGGGTTGGCGACAACCAGACCCAGGCCATCCTTGGGGAAGGTCGCAAAGGAGGCAGGACTGGGGTCCGGCGGTACGCGGCAACGGGGCCCTAGGCTTATGGACCAGGAGGGCGGAGGGCTTCTGGCGATTGGGTGTCCTTTTCCTGCGATTCTCCTTTGTCGCCCTCACCGCCCCTGTGATGGCTTGTTCAGTGCTGCTCTCCCCCTGTAAACTCCGAGGGTGCGGCAATGTTTTCCCAGATGTGTCCTCCGCGCAAGATCTGGTAATGTTTGTTGAGAGTGAATGAATGGCCAGGTCTGGTGGCCGAGACAAGCAAGGGCCAAATGTCATAGATCTAGGCTCACCCATCCCAACCCCTCACCCGCGCCCAGCTGAGATCTCAGAGGGCAAGCTGGTAGCCTTCGCTTATTCTCTCTGAAGATCTTCAGGCTTTGTTTCAGGTGGACTTATCTCCTCATTCCTTTTCAGCTGAGGTTCACTCTCCACTCCATTGTCACTCCACCCAACTTCTCATCCAGATCCCACCACTTTTGCGGCCTGCTCACGTCCACTGGCTTCCCAGTCAGATACCTAAATTACTTGAACAATAGTGAGGACGGCTGTGCTACCCAACGGAGTGATCAGGTATGTGGCCTGTCTCACAAAGACCTGGTCAGGCAGACTATTTTACTTGAATTCAGATGTTCAGGTTGCAAAAAAACCCTACACTATTCATACCTCCTGAATAGATCTGGAAAGTGGGTATCAGATCTTTTCTGTAGTTCCCAGTGCCTGGAGCCAGAGACAAAATACATGTAGATGAACCATCTGGGAGGTTCTTAACATATGGAGAAAGTGTTTTAGTTCAGTCAAATACCAGTAAGAAGTACTTTTAAATTTTCAGATACCATTTTGATACATGAGTAGACTTTCTGGAGAGTTACCTGTTAAATCAGCAGAGGAGAGAGTTTTGAGTAATGACAGTGTACAGTCATTAATTTTTCCCCCACCCACCCCCCTGGGACATTTGATAAAGGCTGGAGACATTTTTAGTCATCACATCTAGGCAGGTGCTACTGGCATCCAGTGGGTAGAGGCCAGGGATGCTGTTTGTTAAATATTGTACAATGCACAGGATGGCACCCCACAAAAAAGAATTATTTGGCCCCAACTGTCAATAGTTTGCTGTTGAGAAACCCTGGATAGAGGATGAGGACTGAAGAGAGGCTGAGGTTACTACATGTACTCTCACTTCCAGTAGGCTCATTTGCCAAACTCTTGTTCTGACTCTGCTCCATTCCCAGAATCTATAGCAGGCACACTGATACCATGCTTGTCATTCACTTGGAATCAGGAACCTTGGGGCCCCCTGAAAATCATAAACATAGGAAAGAGTCATTCAAGAACGTACAGCTGCAGAAGAGAAGTTTAGGGAGAACAAAACTGTCTTCATGTATTTGGGGAATGTGCCAGATAGAAAAGAGAAGGCAGAACTGGCAAATTTAAAAGCCTGGTAATGAGCCTAGTTAACATTTACTAAGCCCTTAACTGTGTGCCAAGAATTATTGTGCATCGTGGCATTTACTCTTCACAGCATCCCACCTGACATAGATTCTGGTGGAGCCTCATATTCCAGAAGGAGAAGCTGAGCCTCAACTAGGTTAATAAATCCCAGTCTGGGGCAGAGTTGGGATTTCAATGCAGGTCTGATTCCAGAGTTCAGAATCTTAACAATGATATGCTGTATCGCCTCTTTTTCTTACAAATATAATGGGTCATTTTAGTGTTTTCTTATTTACACATGTTTTGAGTGGGAAATAGGATAATTCTCTAAATATTTAACCCTAGTTGACTTGCATTTTCACTCTAACTTTGTATTTTAAGGAAATTGCTTTTTAAGCAAGGTCACAGTCTCTGGGAAAATTGACATGGAGGGGACTAGTCAAGTTTCTTTCATGCATTGCTTTCCCTGAATAGTGTATAGTCAATCTGAAAGCCTTATAATTAATGAGATGTTGTATCCACCTAATTGAAGTTAGGGTTAATGAGAAAAAAATTGGGATTAATCAAAATGTCACAGAGAAGACCAGCCCTTAAAGGAATGGTACAAGAGATTGAGATTGTGTGACTAAAATGGCAATCTGGGTGTGACTTCAGGATGGGGTGAATGGTTGTGACAGTCACTGGGAATGGGTGGGGGTTGACTAGCTTCTCTGAGAGGAGACTTCTTGGAGGCAGGGCCTGTCAGGCACTGCTCCCAGTGTGTCAGAGGGAGTTCCCTGATCAGCCATCCTATAGAAGGGTGTTCTCCCAGCCACCATAGAGGTGAGTGTTAAGTCACACCTTATGAAGCAGCTGCTAAGGGCCAGGTACTGGGCTTAGCATTAGAAACCTGGTGGTGATCTAAGCAGCCATGTTCCTGTCCTGGTGGAATTTGTAGTCCTGGGGGCCTAGAGTAGGAACTGGGCGTTGAAGAGACCACATGAATATGTGGATACATATTGTAACTGAGCTTATAGGAAGCAAGATGTTGTGAGAGCACGTGACCAGGGACCTGAAGTTAGATTGTCCTGTAAGGAAGCATATACAAAGAGGGGGCATTCAAGGTCAAGAGGATCTTAGGAAGAGCATTCCAGACAGAGAGAACTGCTAGTGTGTGGGCCCCAGGGCAGCAGAGGGCTTGGTGTGGGAGACTTTAAAAGAAGGCCAGGGTGGCCAGAGCAGAGAATGTGGGGGAGAGAGGCTCCAGGTAAGGCTGGCGAGGTGGGCAGGGACGGGTCATGCAGGGCTTTATGGACCATTAGAAGAGTTTGGAATTTATCCTGAACTCAGTGGGAAACCATTTAAGTTTATAAAGAGGGACATGACATTGTCAGAATTGCCTTTTTAAGATGCCATTCTGGCTATTGTGAAGAGAACAGATAGGAGGCAAGAGTAGATTTGGGGAAACCCATTAGGAGTCTGGCATGGTGGGCAATAGTGGCAATGAAATGGAGCAAAGCAGATGGATGGGAGTTATATTTTGAAGGTTACTTCAACAGGAGTTAGTCATGGATTGGATGTGGAGCATTGGTTCCAGGACCCTCCCTCCCCACCTGCATACCAAAATCTGCTGATACTCACGTCTGTTATATAAAATGGTGTAGTATTTATATGTAACCTATATTTTCATATAGGCTACATACAGCAGGCTATGCCTACACATCTCTTCATTCATGTGGATTCAGTGTAGTGCTCAGTATGTGGCAAATTCAAGTTTTGCTTTTAAGAACGTTCTGGGATTTTTATTTCTGAATATTTTTGATATGTAGTTGGTTTAGTCCATAGATGTCAAACCCATGGATACAGAGGGCCTACTGTACCAATTTTCCAACATACTATCTAATTTATGTGTTTGTTATGCTTATTGTTTTTTGCCAGTGTTCCCCAACCAGAAGGAAAGCTCTACCAGAGCAGGAATTTTTGTTTGTCTTGTTCTCTAATGTATCCCAAAAGACTAGGACAGTGACTGTCACAGACTAGGTACTCAGTTAATATTTGTTGGATGAATGAATGAGCATGTGTTATTTTTATGATCAGAGGGAAGGAAAACAAGGTGCTATGTGATGGAAGGAGGAAGGAAAGCCTGTTGTGGGTAACAGAAGAAATTTTCTCCACTTGAATTTCTGACTCTTGTTTTCCTTGCTTCAGGCTGTAGCAGAAGAGGAATGATTGTGAACAGCCTCTCACTGTGCTACCACAACAAACTCATCTTAGCCCCTATGGTTCGGGTAGGGACCCTCCCAATGCGGCTGCTGGCCCTGGACTATGGAGCGGACATTGTGTACTGTGAGGTAAGGGGCTTCAGATCTTCTCAGAGAGCTTTTCTGTAAGCACAGTCTCCCCATCTGTGGGTGGAAGTGGTCAGGAGTGGAGGGGTGGCAGAATGGGTACTGACTTCACAAGTGCTCACTGATGGCAGCGGGAGGCAAAGATGCATGCCACTTAGGAGTTCTGGGAGCCCATCTGAGGGCCAGGAGCCTGGGTAGTGTGGAGGCATTGTGGGATACCTGGGCCAGATGGCTAGATAAGCATTGTGTCAGGTCACTACCCTGGTCCTTAGAGGATTTAATACACATTCAGTACATGAGTGAATGAATTCAAGATTAGGAAGAGGAGGAAGAGGACCGAGTTCAGGCCAGGGAAGCTGGATGCAGTTGGTTAGGGGAGCCATACGATTTTCTGGTGGCAATAGCTAGTGGGCCAGTTATTTGCTGACTACTCTGGAGAATATTAGGACTTCAGACCCAGGTTTAGAAAGCATCTGCAAGGAAAAACAGAATTACAGGAGTAGCTGATACTGGGTAGTGAGGGAGTGTGACCAGTGGTTCTCAATAGGGCATGTATCAGAATTACCTGGGCAGCATCCCCTCAACCCCCCATCTTGATATATCCCCCTAGTGGGTATAAAAAGTTTAAGAAAAAGCTACTCAAGTACTTTTAACATTTCCATCTTTAAAAGCCACTGGGGTGGGGTGGGGACCATGACTGTAGAGCAGTACAAGGAATCCTTATGATGAAACTATTCTGTGTATTAACCTGTATCAACGTCAATATCTTGGTTATGATATTATACTATAGTTTGTTTTGTTGTGTTTTTTTTTTTAAGCTGAGCCATCCTGCCACCTGTTGGCAGCTCAGCAGCTGCTCAGCTTGGGCCGGGACTCGAACTGCTGTTACTCAGAGCTCAAACTCTTGAGCGAGCTCTTAACCAACTGAGCCACTCGGCCAGCCCTGTACTATAGTTTTGTAAGATGTTAACCACTGGGGGAAATTGGGCAATTCTTATAACTGCTCATGAACCTCTAAATATCTCAAAATAAAAAGTTTAATTAAAAAGAAAGGCACTGGTGCAGAGAGAAAGAAGGGCTTAAGAGGGGATTTAGAGAGAATATACCCTCACGTACTGGATGTGTGTTCATGTGTGGGGATAGCAATTAATGATAGAAAAGTAAGAGAGTACGAAAAATAGGCAAATTAATAAAGAGTTTAATGTTAGGGAAGGCAAAAGTCAAATCTATCAACTATGTCAGATGATGCAGAGAAATCCAATTGCAAAAAGACCAAGAAAGTACTTGATTTGAAAATTAGGTGATTGGAAGACAGTCGTGGCACATAGATGTGAACACTTGTAGGGTTTTGGGTTGAGGACTGAGCAGGAAATGAAGAAATAGAAGTAGGGCTGCTGACTATCCCCATAGGAGTTCAAGAGATGAAGGCAGATATGGAGGTGAAGGAAGCTGGGTGGGTGGGAGTCTTTTTTTTTTTTTTTAGGTGATTTGCATGTTTGTAGCACAAGAGGAAGGAGTTAGCAGTGAAGATTTGGGGGATGGGTAGAGCCAGGTCTTGGAGAGGACAGGATTCTTGATGAGGGAGTGGGACCTGCCTTCCTCCAGGACTGGGCAAGGAGGAGAGGGGGAAGATGATGGAAGGGAGGGAAGCTGGGATTTTGCCTGAGAGACCTGTTTTATGTCGAAAGCCAGTCTTCTGCTGGAAGTGAGGGTGGCAGGAGTTGGGTAGGGACTTGAAGAAAGAAAGTGAAGATGTTTTGGTTCTGTTCCACTACGGAATGGTTTGCAGCTTTATGGGGAGGAGAGCTGAGAAACCTAGCAGGAGGATGCCCATGGCTGGTGATTGGCATGCCAGTATCTAAGCAGGGCAGGGAGGGGCAGAGGCATCCAAGGTGCTGGCAAGGTGAAATGGGAGGGAGGGAGTGTTGTCCAAAGGTGGGCGTCAGAAAGGGAGATTCCAGAGTTTAGGATCACAGAGGCCCAAGACTTGACTCTTAAGTGGTTTGTCGGTGTGGATGCAAGGAGGTCCAAGGAATGTGAGCTGGGCTGTTAGGGTATATCTGTAAGCCCTCCAGGTTGCCAGAATGTGCCTAGGGCAGGGAACAACCTGTTCCCAGAGGCCAGTCCCAGGGGAATGTGATAGTATACTGAGCATTATTCATCTGGTCACTCATCCTTGAGCCAACATTCAGGCCCATGGTGGTCAGCCATGGATTAGGTAAAGCCTTTCCTGGCTGGTACCCTCCTTGCTCTCCAGAAAAGCCTTTTGGATTTGGAAGGGGACTGGAGGGAGGGACTGTAAAGAATCATGGATTCAGAGCCTGAGGACTGGGGACTAAAAAGACCAAATCCCAGAAACTTAGTCAGCTGTTAACTTTCTTTGCTTGTGATACCCCCCTCCCTGCCACCCCCAGGATGCTAACAGAGGGACATGCTTTCTCTTAATCAACTTTGTCCATATTTACCAGGAAGGTCCTGCAGGATGTCTCAGGCTTAGGGTGAAGCCCCCTGCTTCTTCCTTGCTGCCTCAACTCTTATCTCTGTCCTGCTGTACCCTCTCCATGATCATTTCAAGAACCAGGGTATATGGTGTCCCTCTCCTCTCTGTCCGTGTTTTGCATATAGTCTCCATTGATTATTTGCTGGCAGACAGGCAGGCTGGCCTCTCTTTGGCATGGGAGGGTGGCTGGGCCCTAAGTACTGGGCATGGCACAGTGTGGTGCCTGGTGCCCCCTGGTGTGTCCAGAGTGGCTCTGCAAGCCAGCATTATTGTGCTAGCTGCCTGGATGATCTTAACTGGGCTCACAGGAGGTGGCTGGTTGGTGGGATTAGATAAATTAGTCAAACCACCCGACCTACCTCGCAGGACAGACTATAGGATGTAGGTATACCAGGCATGCAGGCACCTCCTTAAAAGGCTTGCAAAGCTTCAGCAGCTGGAAGTGAAGAAAGCATGAACCACCTCAGCAAAAGTCCAAGAAGCAGTAGTCTGATTCCCTTCCAAGGTCTGCCCTATTGACAGGAGTTTTCTAGGAGTTCCTCAGATTTCATGTTTCTATTCCTCTTTATAAGAACAGTGAGACTCCAGTGGCCCAGACTGAGGGGACACTTACCTGTTAGACTTATACCTTTTAATAAAAAATTATACCTTTTAATTTTTTCTTTTATTGTGGTAAAAAACATAAAGTTTACCATGTTAACTAATTTAAAGTGTACAGTTCAGTAGTGTTAAGTACATTCATATTGTTGTAAAATAGATATCCAGAACTTCTTCATCTTGTGAACTTTACCAAACAAGTCCCCGTTCCCCCTTCTCCCCAGCCCCTGGTAACCACCATTCTACTTTCTGTTTCTATGCATTTGACTCCTTTAGATACCTCATATAAATGGAAACATGCAATATTTGTCTTTTTGTGACTGGCTGTTTCACTTAGCACAGTGTCCGTAAGGTTCATCCATGTTGTAGTATGTGACAGGATTTCCTTCCAGTTTTAGGCTGAATAATATTCTATTGTTATGTATACACCACATTTTGTTTATCTGTTCATCTGTTCTTGGACATTTGGATTGCTTCCATCTCTTAGCTATTGTGAATAGTGCTACTGTGAACATTGGTGTGCAAAGATCTCTTCAAGACCCTATTTTCAATTCTTTTGGATATATACCCAGAAGTGGGATTGCTAGATCATATAGCAATTCTATTTCTTTTTTTAAAAAAAGATTTTTATTGGGGAATTGGGGGATGGGAACAGCACTGGGGAATTGGGGGAAGGGGAACAGACAAGTTGCTGTCCCTTTGTTCTTCAGTCTAGTTGTGGAGGACGTTGCTTCACTGGCCCAAGTTGGCCATCACTGCGCTCTTCCCGGGTGAGGCAGATCAGTTGCTGGCTTCTGGACGGCTGGGGTTTTTTTGGTGTGATGAAAGTGCTTAAAAATTTATTGTGGTGATGGATACACAACTCTGTAAATAATACTAAAAGCCATGGAATTGTACACTTTAAATTGGTGAATTATATGGTATGTGAAACATATCTCAATAAAGATGTTTAAAAATGTTTATAGGAACAATATTGGGCTAATTGACAAAACTGAAATATGGAAGGTAGATTAGAAAAAAATATTGTATCGATGTTAAATTCACTAAAGATGATGCCTGTGTAATCGTTGTATAGGAGAATGGCCTTATTCTTAAAAAATATCAAGAGCACTTGCAAAGTGATAGATGCTAGTGATTCAAGATGAATGAGACAGTGTCCATGCCCCAAAAGCTCTTTGGTGTAGCAGGGAGACAGAGAAGAAAATGAGATTTCAGTGGCTACTTTGCCTCAGCTCCTCCTCTATGGGCCCAGGCTACCTGGCCAGGGTCCTCAAAGTCCACCTTTGTGTGGACACAGGACCCTCCTCAGGGGGTTCATGGTCCAATGGTAAGAGTATGACAGGTGCATCTGCAACGGGCATATAGAGAAGTGGTAAGGGTTGTAAAGTTGGATGTGCCAGGGGTTTTGGAAATCCCAAGGAGGACAGATGGCAGGGCTGGGGTCCCAGCAAGGCTTGCCTTGCTTTGCCCTGCTCGTTCCCGGCCAGAGCTCAGCCTAGCAGCAGAGCTTCTTGGCCACTTGCCTGCCCCTGCAACTGGGATCACTGGCTACAGGGGCTCTGTCTATCCTTTGGAACACCACACTGATTCTTGGGGGCTTGGATGCCAATCATGTATCCAAACTGCTTGGTCCTGGTGATTTGTCGGGTCAGGCCTGGTGGGCATCAGATACTTGATGACCTGAATGCAGCATGGAAAGAATAGCCACAGAAACACCTAGAGAGTGTAGTAACCTGGATGAGGGGTATGCTGGGGGGAGCCCCATTCATGCCATAGGGGCCTTTTGGCCTCTTGAGCCCTACGTGCTCTCATGAAGGACAAAGGCCATCGTGCCCACCTGGCTGGGGTTATGACTTGCTGAGGCTCATAAGGAGCCAGTATGGGGATGAGTACCAGGGGTGAGAGTTTCTTCATATCTTCTTCTAGACCCCTAGACTCCCTGGGCATGAGCTTCTGGGCAGTGTGACGGGTGCCTGGCTATTCTGATTTGTCTTCCACATCTGTTGAAACGATCACTGAACAAAGCAGAATAGTCTTGTCTCCCACCAGGAGGTAGAGAATCTCGATCTTTCCGGTGACATGAGTGTTCCCTTCTTTTTTATGATCCTGACTTTGAAGAAACCCCTTTCCCCTTTCTTTTGTGAGTTTGAATATCTCCAGAGCTGAGGATCTCACTCCTTTCACTTCCACACAGCATGACCCATGTTGGATAGGGTTTTTAGACTTTTCTTTCCTGTGATGATCTCAAATTTTCCTCTCTGTGCTTCTGGTCACTGGTCCCACTTTAGTCCTTGGATATTTCCTGGGTTGAGGCAGGAGGTTCTTTGAGGAGATGGACTGGAGCTGAGACTAGTAGGTGAGGACAGTATCCAGGTGTGCACATCCTGGGCTGTTGTCTTCTGTCTGGCTCCCTGAGTGGTTCACCCTTTCTAGGCCCCAAACATCTCCAAAGTCCTTGGGACGAGAAGCTGATTGAGGGTAGCTCACTCAGGCCTCTGCTTGCCACGTTTGGGCAGGGAGGACAGCACTACATGTCTCAAAAACCATGATTTGTTGTTGGTACTAGGGTGATAGGCCAAGCGGCCCCCCTCAGGTGCAGTGAAGGTATTCGCCCCCCTAGCCCTGTGCCCAGGACCTACATGTCCTAGACTGACAAGTGCTCTCTGATTCCTCTGCAGGAGCTGATTGACCTCAAGATGCTTCAGTGCAAGAGAGTTGTCAATGGTGAGTGCAACTCTGGTCCCAGGATTGTGTGTGTGCCGGGTCAGGCCCAAGCAGTACTACCACTGCCCTTGCCTGGGGCGACAGTGTCCTTCCAGGGTTCTTCTAGCCTGGCTATGTAATTTGTGGATCATGTGTTCCCTTGAGAACAATCACTGCTCTCCAGAGACCCTGACAAGAGCCAGATATGAAACAGGCAAAGAATGTCTTTCACCTATAGGCTTGCTGGCATAGAAATTGCCAGGTTTCATAGTACAGGAAGAAACTCTGGAAGCCTTGGGATCGGGATGGCTTTGACACTCGTCCTGGCTCTGCCACTCGCTGGCTGTGTGACTTTGGGCAAGTCACATGACCTCCCTGCCTCAGTTTCTTTAGCTGTAAAATGAAAATCATAATTCCTGCTTTACTTAAATCATAGTGTTAGAGTGAGGATCAAATAAGATAAGGTACATGTAAGTACTTTGCAAATGGAAGTGGTTGTGCTGAATTGTGGTTTTGTTTATATTTTATTGACGAGGCTGATTCTGCTCTGATTAGAGTTGTGGTATTTGAGGTTTTGGAAATGTATACATGTTTGTGAAATCTTTATAAGTTCACTAGAAGTTATGACTCAATTTTGTCTTTAATTCTTTTAGATTTATATTGTCTTTGTCATGAAAAATGCAATATTATAGCCCTATATAACCTAGAAAATGAAAATCCCCTATAATCCCATCCTTGAAGAGATAATCACAAAGAGGAATAATGTATATTTTTTACACATTTAGTAAATTGTGTGTATAAAAATATAACATGCTTATATATCTTCCTTCCTGCCCCCATGGGATCATGCTACATTTGTTTTGCCACTTTTCTACTAGGACATTTTCCTGTGTCGTTACTTACAGATCATTATGTCAGAATGGATTTCACCAGTGCTTTAACATTTGTTTCAGTATTTTGCTGTTATAAATAGAACTGTAGTATAAACACACACTGTTTTTGTGGTTCTTCCCTGAGACTTCTTACTGCCAGTGATGAGTTGTTTCTGCTGCTGGAGATTGCTTTGATTACCTCTCCCAACATGTCACTGCCTTTACCCCACCTTTTTAATCTTCTAATCTGTTCAGTGCTGGGATGATAATAGCTTCTATTTATGGAAGTGCTTTACTTGTATTAAAGATCTCATTTATTTCTCAAAATAAATGTATGAGGTAGGCATATTCTCCCATCTGCCACATTGGATCTCTTTCATGTGTTTGTCATCTTTGAAAACTAATAATGGTAGTACCTATTGTACAGTTTTGTTTTGAAGAACATATGAGATTCTTGTTATTTGCAATTGTTATATTCTGTAAAGTTGCTGTGAACATCAAGTTAGTGAATACTGAACCATTGCTCCTAGAGGAAATACAATCATACCTTGTTTTATTGCCCTTTGCAGGTAATGTGTTTTTTGTAAATTGAAGGTTTGTGGCAACCCTGGTCGAGCAAGTCTTTCAGTGCCATTTTTCCAGGCTCAGATGATGGTTAGCATTGTTTTAGCAACAAAGTATTTTTTAATTAAGATATCTACATTGTTTTGTTAGACATAATGCTATTGTGCACTTAATAGACTATAGTGTAAACATAACTTTTATATAGACTGGAAAATCAAGAAATTTGTTTGACTTGCTTTATTGTGTTATTTACTTTTTTTGTGATGATCTGGAACCAAACCTGCAATATCTCTGAGGTATGCCTGTATAGGTTTAGGTTCCTTCAAACCTCTGATCACACATTTTCATTAACAGACCAATACATAATTTTTTTTTTGTAAGATTTTATTGGGAAATTGGGGGAGGGGAACAGTGTTGGGGAATTGGGGAAGGGGACCAGCCAAGTTGTTCTTCAATCTTCGTTGTGGAGGGCGCCAGTCGCCATCTGGCTTCCTATTGGCAGCTCGTAGCCTCTAAGCTCAAGGTGCTGTGTTCAATCTTAGTTGCGGGTGGGTGTAGCCACCACCCCATGCGGGAGTTGAACCAGCAGCCTTGTTGTTAAGAGCGCACGCTCTATCCACTGAGCCATCTGGGTGGCAGCTCGGCTCAAGGTGCCAGACAGAGTTCAGTCTTAGTTGCAGGTAGGCATAGCCCACCATCGAACAGGCAATCTTGTTGTTATACCAGCTGAGCCATCCTGCCACCTGTTGGCAGCTCAGCAACAGGTCAGCTCAGGTGCAGCGTCACTGGCCCATGTGGGAATCGAACTGGCGGCCTTGTTGCTCAGAGTTCGCGTTCTTAAGCCAACTCTTAACCAACTGAGCCACTCGGCCGGCCCAGATCAATACATAATTTTGTTTTATGGTGTTTCTGTTTAAAGACATGTAATTTAATATATTCTGTTGATTCGTTAACACTGAACTCACAACTAGCAGCACTATAATTTCATGTCTGAACAAAGCTTGTCTAACATGTATTTTCTTCTTAAGACACATCACAGCCTTCTTGTGCTTAGGAACACTAGACAGTACTTCTCTGTGCTTGGGGCCATTTAAGACAATGAGATTACCAACAAAAAGCACAAAAATGCAGAACTGTGGCATTAAATCTGCCATCATAGGAACACTTGTTTACAGCATGAGAGCTGAAACAAGAAAGCAGAGTGTTGTCTTGTTTGACTTCAGCTGAGAATGTGTACATTGGGTGACTGAAATCTGTAATTCTACGCATGTCCCAGAATGACGATGAAAACTCCCCGAGTATTGACTTTGTGGTTACAAATAAAATTTAGTGAGCAGGCAAAATTGCAAATATACAACTGCAAATAATGAGGATGGACTATAATATAGTAAATCTCTGCTCACAGAACCTGGCACATCATAAGTCATTAAGAAATGTCAACTTTGCTGAACGTCAGAGTGACATCTGGGAAAATTTGTCAAAATCTGAAGTACAGACAAAATTCTCTACATGCACACTTTTTTCAGTGTTTTAAAAATTGCAAAATGTAACAACCATATAGAGAAAGTACATAAAAGACAAGCATGCACGTTATTAACAAATAACTAAAACAAACAACCATGTAGTTAACCATCACCCAGGTCAGGAAATAGACTGTCACCAGCCCCTCAAAAGTCTTCCATGTAAGCCCTGATTTTTTTAAAGAATGGTGTGCTTCTCTTGTCCATTTTCCCCTTCAAGGTGATACTTTTGCTGTGTTTTCTTGCAGGGTTCAGGCTAGGTTGAACTTGCTTCTTCAGTGGGTGGGCCTGTGTGTTTGTGTTTTCTTGCAGAGGTGCTCAGCACAGTGGACTTTGTCGCCCCTGATGACCGAGTAGTCTTCCGCACCTGCAAAAGAGAACAGAGCAGGGTCGTCTTCCAGATGGTACGCGATCCCAGGGCTCACCTGTCACCCAGATTTACCATCTCCTGCCCTGCGGGGCCAGTGTTAAATGCCTGGGCTTCAGTGCACAACGGTAGCTTCCTGAAGACTCTGCTTTAACACTTTTCAAAGACCTGCTCATGGGTGATTATACTTTTGGAGATAGTTTATGGAAATCAAGCTATACCAGTCTGTTACATGTCTCTAGTCTCCAATTTAGCTTCTTTAATTATAGGAGTTATCTGTTTGGCGTGACTTATATATTTTCAATCTGTAGCATTAGTTATTCAGATCATGGTCTTCGTTTTGATGTAGTCTGTATATATTTCCCATAGAAAAAAATTAGGTTTCCTCAAGCATAGTTAAGATTTATGTTAGGGTTCTAGTGATTCTGTACCTCTCTTCTCTTACTTTGGGTATTTCTTGGTGCTTCTTTAGAAATAGCTCCTGAATGTTTAAGTTATTTTAAAAGTGATAACAATGGGTAGATATATGATAAAGCAAATGTAGCAAAATGTTAATTATAGAATCTAAGTGGTGGGTATGTGAATGTTCACTATAAAAATTTTTGTATATTTGATAGTAATCATAGCACCGATGACATTTTCTAGGCCTTCTGGGTCCACTTTTGGCCTCTGACAGTGAGCTAGTCTAGTGGGCTGGTTGTTTAGGAGACACCAGCTGGACTCCACTTGCTGATGTGTGTTTGTGCATAGCGTGCATGGTGTGTTTGTCTATGCCTGTGTAACTGTGTTGGAAGTGGTTGATGCAGCCTCTTGTGTTCCCAGGGGACTTCAGACGCAGAGCGAGCCCTTGCTGTGGCCAGACTTGTGTAAGTTCTTCTCTCTTTGGAACTGTCTTTGCCTCTCCTGTGGGCTGTGAGGCTTTATTGTTCCTGGTGACCTTGGAGGTGACTACCTTTCTGCCTCCTGGTCCACTATCTTCTGTTTTCAGAGTCTCTGGTTTCCTTCTCTGTTTGTGGTGTCTGAGGGCTGTCCTGGGACTCATGTACCTACTGTGCCCAGGTCCCAGATAACCTCTGTGTGGGTGCCTGTTTTTTAGTGTTTATTCATGAGGTTCCTTTTCCAAGGACTCTTATGACTATAAGCCCTGAGGATTTAAATCCCATGAAGTGCTTCCTAAATTAACGGAGGCAGGAGAGTACTGTGGTTAAGGAGATGGGCTTTGGAGTTAGACGGAGCTGGGTTGGAATTCTGGCTTTGTTACTTGCTAACTGTGTGACCTTAGGTAAGTTACTTGTCCTCACTGAGAACTTAGTTTCCTTATCTATAAAATGAGACCAATAGTACTACCTAACACTGGCATTATAGGGAAAGGTAAATGAAATAATGCATGTAAATATCTTTGCAGTGTAAGCACATGGTGAGTGTTTAGTAGGTGTTAGCTATTATTATTAATTACAGTGAGAAGGAACTCATACAGTAGTTGCTGCTACTTACAGCCTGTTAACTAGGTACATAACAGAAGATGAAATAAGGTTCCTTTCTACATCTGAGAACTCTTTGGAGTAAGCCAGTCCAGCCAACCAAGACAGTACTGTAACTTCTAACTTCTGTCCAGTGCTCTGGGCAAGGGCTCTTATGCTCATGTCCATTTTGTGCATCGGCAATGGAGTTGCAATGGCTTTCACTACCCTAGTCAGAACTGGAACTCTGGGATTGAGTTCAATGTGGCTGTCACTTGGTACTTGAGCTATCTGATAGAACTCCAAAGTAGGAAAGTCCTCTACAACTAGCCCTCTGTAGATGTGGGAGCACATTGTGCTCTTCCTCCTGAGCTCTGCTCAGGGGAGGCAGTCACACATTTTAGAGACAGTTTTTTCTCAGCTTCTGACACAGAGGTTTGGTGTGTTTCAGGGCTAGGGACATGGCATGGGGTTCCTGTGCACAGACCTATGCCTTTGTCTTTACCTTCTTTCCTCAAGTTAAATATTTACTACCTTTTCTACTTTATGTGTTTTCAGAGAAAATGATGTGGCTGGTATTGACGTCAACATGGGCTGTCCAAAAGAGTATTCCACCAAGGTAAACTGAATTCTTTATAGTGTTCACAAATATAGGGTACAGATTAAAGAGGACTAACGAGACATGACAACTACATACAGTACCTGACTCTGCACTAGATCTTACAGTAGGTAGAGGAAACACTCAAGAGGATATTATTAGATCAATTGTCAAAATTGGAATATGGACTATGTTAGATTTCTATAAATACTGTACCAATGTAAATTTATAAAGCTGACAACTCTTCTGCTTTGTAAGACTATCCCTAGTAGAAAATACACACCAAAATATTTAGGGGTCAAGGGCTATCATATATGTAACTTTATACTCAAATGGTTCAGGAGAAAATTTTCATACACCACGTATACATATATACACACATAAACACACACATATATACACATAGAGCACTTATGCCCAAGTAATAAGACAAAGGATACAAGTGTTAAAAGAAAAAGTAATGTGAACAGGGCTTGCTTTGTCTCTTCATGAATAAAACCAAGACATACATTTTTTTAAAAAATAGAGGATTCAATACATGTGTCCCTATTGTCATATCAGAAGATCAGAGCAGAGTGCTAGGATAGCTCAGAAAGGAGCGGAATGGCAGCCCTTAAACTTGGGATCTTATAGGGAAATGTGGTCCTTGTTGAGGAGGTTTGGGACGCTGCAGGCAGAAGGAGTGGTGCAAGCAGGGACCTGGAAGCCAACATGAGGTAGAAGCAGACAACCTTGATTTGACCAGAGGGTTGGAGAGTGGGAGACGAAGAGGAAGCAGAAGAGCACAGGAGTGAAAGTCTTGGTTTGGACCAGAGTAGCTGGACTTGGACTTTTGATATCTCTGGCATTTTTTGAACAGAAGAGGCATGTGATCAGAAACTTAAGTTTCCTTCCCCAGTGGAAACCAGTGTTACTAGTTTCTTGTGTGGCTTTTCAAATATATTCTGTGAGTAGAAATACTTAGAAATACTAATCTGGGAGCTATGTGTCTTATGGATTCAAGTGGAAAGAGGCTAGAAATGGGGACATACACATAGGAGATGAGTGTCCGGGGTCCACAGGAAAGACCAGGGATGGAGAGAGGAGAAGCCCAACTGGAGCAGAATTTGACAGAGCTTGGCTGGCAAATGACTGGACTGGGTGTGGGGAAGTGGGATGAGCGGTGAGGGTAGAGGGAGGAAAGACTCGCAGTCAGGAGGATGGTTGGCCTTCAACATCATTGGGGCTGCCAGAGGAAAAAAATGCTTGGAGCAGCTAACAAAGACAACTTGGGGTTGGGTGTGTGTGAGGCACCAGAGGGACTCCTGCAGGGCTGCCCCTGGGAACCTTATCTCCAGGTGTGTGGTCAGGGTCAGCAGTGTTGACCTAGCCCACTGCCCAGAGTCAGCCACTCTGCTCTCAGGAGTTGCGTGGTCTGCACTCTTTGCTTTAGGCCAGGAGGCTTAAGACTGCCTGGGGGAAAGGCTCTTGGGATGCCTGAAACCCAGAAGGCTTTGTACACAGCGGCTTCAATGAATTATGGAGGTTTGAAATCGTCTTTGAGGGATTGAAAACTTTAGACCCTGTTTTGCTATCTTCAGATTACTTCCTTGTGCTCCTGAGCTATATAAGGAGCAGAGTTGAAATTATTGGAATAATTTCCCAGAGATCATGGAGTGAAAAAAGCAAGGAGCAGAATTGTGGTGTATCACCATTTATATATGGGGGTGGGGAATGAATAATTATATATATTTATTTTGTCTTCATAGAATATATTTGAAAAGACACATAAGAAACTAGTAACATTGGATTCTCCAGGAAAGGAAACTAAGTTCTTATTTGGTTTTGCATAGGGATTAAAATCCCATTGCAGTGTTGCTACTCAAATAATTAACAACTGGCACGGCACTGGCACTGACCAGTGAGAACAGATACCTAGCAATATGCCACACCAGTATATACCACCTGCATATCTACTCTCTTTCTCATGGTTCAAAAACTGAAGCCATATAAAAAGTATAAATTGCGGGGGCTGGCCGAGTGACTCAGTTGGTTAAGAGCTCGCGCAAGAGTGCGAGCTCTGAGCAACAGCAGTTCGATGCCCAGCCCGAGCTGAGTTGCCGCTGAGCTGCCAACAGGTAGCAGGATGGCTCAGCTAAAAAAAAAAAAAAAAAAGTATAAATTGCGAAGTTTTCCATTTCTCAGTGAAGGAGAGTTCTTAACTTTTTACCCTTTTGAGCCTTTAAAAATTTTAACATGTTACCTATTCAAAAAAGCAAATAAGTAAGTTAAATAGAAAGGAAGGAAGGAAACACCAATGGAGAAAGCCATTGTTGTGGAAAGGGCAGTGCATTTTAGAGTCTGATTCCACAAGGAAGGGCCAGATTTTGTGTGAGCTGAAAGACAGGTGGAGCCTGGTGTGTGGCCAGGGCTTGCTTTCTTTTTGTTTTGAAGATTTTATTGGGAATTGGAGGAGGGGAATGGCGTTGGGGAATCAAGGAAGGGGAACAGACAAGTTGCTGTCCTTTTGTTCTTCAGTCTAGTTGTGGAGGACATCGCTTCACTGGTCCAAGTTGGTATTATCATTGTGCTCTTCCCGGGTGAGGCAGATCGGTTGCCGGCCACTGGATGGCCGCTCACGGTGGCTCTTGGCAGCTTACGCTGGCTGCCGGCCACTCACGGTAGCTTATGGCAGCCCACTGCAGCTTCACTGCAGCTTACGCTGCCACCGGCGACTCATGGCAGCCTAGCTCCAGGTCGAGCTGTTGTTCACCATCTTAGCTGTAGAGGGCGCAGTTTCACTGGCCTGCATGTGGGATCCGAACCGGGGCTCTGCTGCTCAGAACTGGTGTCCCAAGCCAACTCTTACCCAACGTGCCACTCAGCCAGCCCTTATTGGATTTTTTTGTCTTCCCTTTACCCACCCTTAATGGGTTCAGATTTTTAACACCCTCCTCCATTAAAGTAATTCATACCAGTGTCCAGAACATAGATAATATAGATGAAAAGTACAAAAACGAAGCAGGAAAATCACCACTAATCCCACCATCAAGAGACAACCGGTGTTAATGTTGATTCACATGGCTTCATGGGTTTTTGGTTTCTATTAGCTGGGGCTTTTGTTAGGGTTTGATATTGTTCTGGGTGTTCAGGACGGGGCCATTGTTACCGGCAGGGGAGAAGGGTCTGGAAAAGGTGTGCAGGTTGCATGTCTGAGTGGCTTTGCTGATGGTAGTGGTGATACCAAAGCAAGTTATGGTAGGATAGGAAGAAGATGCATTTGCTCTCATTTCAAAGGAGGAATTATTCATTGGTTTTTTTAAGGGTTTGACAAATGGTGGGGTTAGTTTATAAAGACTGCCCTGGGTAGCATGGGCAGTCCTGAAAAATGATTTTTGTAGAACCCACTCCGGGATAGATCTGTAGCTTTTGCTAAGGGGATCAGAATGATGACTATTAGAATTTATCAAACGCTGATTCCAGATATCGTAGGCACAGATATGGCTGCTTTCCTACTTCCTTAGAAGTGCTGATTGCCAATGGACCTTGGTCCCTTGGAGGCAAGTGCTGGGGTGCTGCCAGGTTGCCACACCATGTTGCTGTACTGTGGGGAGGGGCCACCCTTCTCCAACTATAGGAAGCCCTTCTGTGTGCTTTTTCTTAGGGAGGAATGGGAGCTGCTCTGCTATCAGATCCTGACAAGATTGAGAAGGTAAGTCTTGCGTGAGTGAAAGCAGAGGTGCTTAGACATGAACTAGAGTTATCTGGAACATCTCCTACTCCCTTCTCCCGGATTTAGTGAATCATTCACTCCACCTGGGGTCTGGAAAATTTTTTAAAGGCTTCCCAGTGATTTTGATGGGTATCCAGGTTCAGAAACCCCTGAGCCAACCGATAGCAGCATGGGAGTTCCTTAAAAAGCCTAGGGCTAGGGACATGTCAACTGAGAGCCGGGGTCCTGAGGACTCATTTAGAGCCTCCTCTGTATTGCATTTCCCCCTTCTGAGAAAACCATGCATGCGTAGGCCAGGCTACCTGTGGGTTGTGGACAGGATCAGTGGTTTTGGGGGTGGGAGGGGGAGGATTGGCCTCTCCCAGGGGGCTTGATGAGTGCAGCAGTGGTCCCCTGCATACTGATAGAGTCCACCACCAGCCTTTGAGAGCAGGTCAGGCCTGGGTCCCATAAGGGAAGCTGAGATTAGCTGTCTCTGGTCCTCTTCCTTCAGTGATTATGGTGGCAAGGTTTATGAGGCCCTGGGGACAGGTTGGCGTTTGCCCCAGACTTGTGAGCTGTCTGGGCATGTGGGGGTGATGTTTTCTGTCACACCATATACACCTTTTACTTTCCTCTCTCAGTTCATCAGCTCTCCCTTTGTTGCTCCTCTAAGCTCCTTTGACTCCCTTTTTATTCTCCATCCCCACTTCCCTGTCTGGGCTGTAAGCCTCCTAGTGCCTCTCATAGGCTAGAGTGACTTGGGATAAGGCCCCACCAATAAGAGCGGTCACTATTTTGTCCTGACTGCTGTGTCAGCAGCTCAACCCTGTGTATTCCTCCAGTCCCACTTTCTCTGGGATACAGGAAAGCCAGCGTGTTAATGGGTTAGGTGCCTTCTCATTTTCCCCATGTGCAAACAGGTACAATGTGCCTATAATATATTCTTACTGTTTGTAATTTCCTTTCCAAAATATGTTCCAGCATTTATTCCATTAGTTCCCCAAACTCCTTGAAGTTGAGCTGGCATTTATCTCCATTTGATCAAGAATAATAAAAGTAAAGCACAAAGAGAGAAAAATAGGGCCGGCCGAATGGCGTGTTGGTTAAGAGCTGGCCTGGGACGCCAGAGGGCCCCGGTTCGGATCCCACATATGAGGGCCAGTGACACTGCCCTCCACAGCTAAGATGCTGAACAACAGCTCAACCTGGAGCTAGGCTGCTGTGAGTCGCCGGCGATGGCATAGGCTGCAGCCCCTGTGACAGTGGGTTGCCATAGGCTACCGTGTGTAGCCAGCAGCCGCAGTGAGCGGCCGTCCAGAAGCCGGCGACTGATCTGCCTCGCCCAGGAAGAGCGCAATGATGGTGCCAACTTGGGCCAGTGAAGCAACGTCCTCCACAACTAGACTGAAGAACAAAAGGACAGCAACTTGTCTGTTCCCCTTCCCCCAATTCCCCAGCACTGTTCCCATCCCCCAATTCCCCAATAAAAATCTTTAAAAAAAAAAAAAAAAGAGAGAAAAATAATTTGCTCAAGATCATGTAGTGAATAAGTAGCAGGAAGAGCTGAGCCTAGACCCATGGTCTTGTGACCTCTGCCCAGCATCAGTGCCCCTTTTCTGTCATCTCAGGTTAAAGGTGCCTAGTGTAGCTTATAAGTGTCTAGCCACAGGTCAGTAGGCACCTGGACTTAGGAACCTCCAGTCAGACACCTCTGTGCAGGATGGAGTGGATGTGGACAACTGTGGATGTCAAACTCATCACTGTACTTAGGGGAGGGTCCCCTGTAGGGGGTGTTTGTTTCACAACATGTGCACACAGGCATTTTGATTATCCTCTGGCCTTCTGGCTTCTCCCACCCATGCTATTGGCTCTGTCCTCCACTGCCCCTCTTTGGGTACATTTCACGTGTGAGGCAGCGGAGTTACACCCCACCTTAGAAGCTCAGTTTATTCTGCCCCTCTGTTTGGTGGGGTAGTCTGATAGGCCATGGCGGACTATTGTAAGGTTTGCCTCATGGAGGGGAGGCTCCAGACTTCCACAGTAAAGCCAAGTGGGACCCGGGAATAGTGGGCTGGAGTAGACTTAGGCTAAAACTGTGCTGGCAAACTGGGCAACCTGGGGGAGAGAGAGCTTTGTGGGTCCTTCTAGTCTTGGTGTTTTAGGCCCATGGTCCCATCTGTGGGAGCATTTCAGGACCACCTGTAGAAATTTTTTCAAAATAAGGATGCTTGTTTGGAGTGATGAAAATTTTTGGAAATACTGGTGATGGTTACACAACATTGTCAATGAGTGTCGCTGAATTATACACTTAAAAATGGTTAAAATGGACAGTTTTATGTTATATATATTCTACCACTCACACACAGAAAGATGCTATCTGTTGAGAATTCTGTCTACCCTTGGGATGGATAGGGGTAGGGTAAGGGATCAGTCTTTTGATAAAGCTTCGCAGGTAACTTTGGTGTACCCTCCCTGGATTAAGAACCTCAGTTTTAGACTCAGTAATAGCCTTTCTTTCACCCCTGCCCAGGATTCCTTGCCCCCCAAAGCCCCAGGCTGCCCAGGGCATCCCTCTTGTGCACACTGCACTTGGGCCATGGTTAACAATTGGCAGGGCCAGGACTTGACCTCAGTTCTCATGATTCCCAAGCTTAATGTTCTCCCAACTTCTTTCTCACTCCCTCCCCAACAACCAGGGGAGCTAACCAGGTTCTGCTTTTCCTGAGTCAGCCAGTAGATCTGGTAAGACGAGCCCGCTTGTGGGTAGATGTGCTGTTACCTACTCAGATATGGGCCTGACTCAGGTCCTTTTTCTCACAGACGTTCACACCACAGAGACATGTGGTGTGACTTGGATCTCGGAGAGTTGGGTTCAGGAGAGTTTATGCTACAGCCTGGCCAGAACACAGACTCTAATTGCCCTTTCCTCTCAGTGTGATCCTTGCAAGTGGCTAGTGCTTTTGTTTACTAATTTCCTTCCTGGTCCTGAATATGTACATGAAATAAATACTGAAGAAGGTGCTTAGAAGCTACTTGGATAAAATTCACCAAAAGGAAGTTCTGCAAAACAGAATTGGATCAAACCAGCTGATGGTGCTTAAATCACCAAACATCAGAGAATTCTAAGTCAGCCCTTGGAAAGGAACCTTCCAGAGATGGTGCTGTCAGCCTGAGAGAAAGGACTAGAATGACAATTTGTATTATGTGTCTCAATGGGTCTGGTAGTCCCCGCTTAAAGGTTACATCCTCCTTTAAAGTCTACCAGAGCGATTCTAGGACCTCAGTCCCAGTCTGCCTTCTGGGGCAGCACTCGGGGCCTATTCCTTCCTGACAGTCCCTGGCAGCTGTGCCTGGACCAGCAGGGCTTGTCTTGCCCATTATCTGTCTACCTGCCTGTCAGCCCAGCCTCTTGGTATGATGTCATCCAAGGGGCCTGTCTCAGCTTGTCCCTGATGGAAAAGCCTCCTCCATCTGTTCTTACAGTCTGGCTCACTGCTGCCCCCACCTGTCTAGAGCCAAGACTGGCAGCAGCTGCCAGCATGTCCCCTCTGCTCTGCTGGGCAGCCACCCAGTTCTTGGAAGAGGGCTCTTGGGATCACCTTCCCTCCAGCTTGCCTGGCCCGATATTTTTGATGAGGGAGGAAGATAGCAAGGCCACAGATATGCAGTGTCATCTACACTTCTCTTGATCTCTGAGGGGTTGGAGGTCTTGCTACCTCCCTGACACTTGCCTGTATGCCTTCCTTGATCTTTCTTTGAAGTCCTTTACAATTACTATGCAAAATAAACACTTTTTAATATGTTGACTATGTTGTCTTTTCCTTTGCCAGTTTCATTCCTGTATATCTGACTCCCCTAAAGAGAGGGAGGGGTCCGTGAGGACAGGGCCCAAGATCTGTAAAGCCTTCCTGCTCCCTTGCTCTGCAGATCCTGGAACAGCACTCAGGAAGCATTGCCTTCAAGTAGGAAAGAAGCTATGAGCCATGTCTTCTCAACCAGGGCTAGGCCTCAGAATCATATTGAGAAGGGAATGTGTTGGGCAGAGCTTTTTGAAACATATACATATTTCTAAGACCTGCCCCTAGAGACATTCAGGAAATAGGAGGTGAGATCTAAGATTCTGTATTTCTTAAGTTCTCCAGGTGATTCTGATGTTTGCCCTGGCAAAGGATCACGATGTTCTACCCAGTCATGCACACAGAACCATTCACTCATTCATTCATTTACTAAAATCAGTAAAACCTTGGATTGTGAGTAACTTGTTCTGCGAGTGTTCCACAAGATGAGCAAACATTTCTAATACATTTTAACGTGGTAAACGAGTGATGTTTTGCAATACGAGTAGTTTGTTTCCGGAACAAATTATGCTTCCAAACCAAGGTATTACTGTATATGTATACCACTATGTGCCAGGGACTGCTGGTGCTGGGACTCTAGCATAGAGAAAAGGTAGACTCCTTCCCTTAAGGAGCTTACATGTGTATGTGTGCAATAGATGTATTCATGTGGACGTATACATGGACACAGACCTGTCCATGCCACTGGGATGCACTGCTGTAGCAGAAATAACTAGTATAAGCCATTGTTTATTTAAATAAGTATAAATATTTACTTGTTAAATAAGTATAAGCTTATTTGTTCCAGAAGAGGCAGGTACTCTTGTGTTCTCGTCTCTGCAGATCCTCAGCACTCTTGTTAAAGGGACATGCAGACCTGTGACCTGCAAGATTCGCATCCTGCCATCGGTAAGGACCATGTATTACATTTGAAGGTCCGTTTTCTCTGGGGATGTTTATTTGGGTTGCCAGTGACTTTCAAGGAGCTGAATTAGGATTGGAGGAGGGGGTAGAACTGAGCCCACTTTAGGATCTGGCAGCTGCTCCCTCTGTGGCTTCAGTAACTACCCTGTGTGGTCCTCTTTTTCAGCTGGAAGATACCCTGAGCCTTGTGAAGCGGATAGAGAGGACTGGTATTGCCGCCATCGCAGTTCATGGGAGGTGAGTGGTCGCCTTTCTAGTGACTGCCTTGCAGGGAGGTCCTCAGCTATCTTAATGATCCATCACCAGACCCCAGGTGACAACCAGCTTCTCTTCTACATTACATATGCAGCCTTCTTCTGCGTAGCTCTTTAACATCCTGAGGGCAGCGGACAAACCCTTTATGAGGTTGTATTTTTTTTTGTTTCAGTCATTGAGTACCTACATGGTGGTAGGCACTGCACTGAGCTTTTGAGGCACAGAGAGACGAAGGAAAAACGCCCCTACCCTCAGGATGTATGAGTGGTACAGATTGAGTGATTTGCTCAAAATTGCATCATGCAGCCAGGAAGTGGTGGAATTAGAACTCTGACTCTGAATCTCATTTTATTTCCACTGTGTTGAGCAATAGCTTCTCCCTCGAATGACCCCAGGCAGATTGCTATTCTTTTAAAAGCACTGCCTCTTTTGTCTGCCCCTGTTGGACTGCCAGCTGTCACAGTGACTGCTTTAAACAGTCCTTGTATCTATAGCTGATGTGCTGTCTGCTGAGGGTGAAGTGTTGCTTAAGGTTACCCTGGATTTCCCCGTCATGTGTCCAGGATATGCTTTTGTACAGAATCTCAGGTCAGCAGACTTTGGCAGAGTGACGTCTCTTCTCTGAGGGATGTTCCTTTTGGGTTCGGGTTCTTGTAGTAACAGCCCAGTTTTTGCTAGTTGTGTCTATTATAGCATTTTTCAAAGAAGGGAACCCAGAACTCCAACATATAAAACAGAAAAGCAGAGTTGTATGGGTAGAAGCCAGTAGGTGGAGGTAAGAGGCCATACACAGTACACACCCTGAGGTAGCAGGCTCTGGGGTCAGACTTCCTGGTTTCAAATCCCATCTCTGCTGCTGGTTGGCTGTGTATCCTTGGACAGATCATTTAACCTCTCTGAGCACCACATTCCTCGTTTAGAAATTAAGATAATTTCTGCTTTATAAGGTTGTTGTGGGGCTTTTATGAGGTTGTGAATACATAGCCTTGACAGAGCACCTAGCATATCATATTCTCTGAATAAATACAGCTATTCCTTTTACCAGTAGTTGGCAACACTAGGAAGACAGATTTCTGTGAGTTGAAGGAGGGACTTTCCAGCCATCAAAGCTGTTGAGGATGGGGTAGAACTGGCTGCTGGTGGTGTGGGGAGGAGCCTGGTGTGGACGTGGAGCCAGGGTTGACAGGGTCTTCTGAGGCCCTGTGGCCCCCGACCCTTTTGTTGTGGAGTGTAGCAGGGAGGACACACCCAGACAAGACCTGGACCAGGGCTATCTGGTCAACCACCTCTCTTGCTTATTCCTGAGCACAGCTCAGGTCAGGGCTCACCTCAGCACCCTTAAGACTCACTTTCATTCCCAAGAACTTCTTGCAGTTGACCTTGGAAGGAGAGGCCTCAGGTTGTGGTCCTGCCTCCCCTGTGGCTCATTGTGACAGCCATAGTCTGGCCTGCCTTGGCTGCTGGATCTACTCTGTGCCAGATGCCTCTCCCCAGGATCAGCTCCCCAACCTGACCTCAGCGTAGGCAGCTGTATGGGAGTGGCCAGTCAGCAGCGGCAGCTGTTCCCAGTCCCTTGGAGAGGGCAGGACCGGGACAGTAGGGGCAGCACTCTTATGGCACTGTCCCTCATCTCTGGCAGAAGCCATGTGACCTTGGGAGCCAGGCCACCCACATTGGCCTCCTGCAGCCATGCCTCACCTGCAGGCCTCCAAGAGCTGGACTTGCCTTCTCAGCATGGACCTATGCTGCTCCTGCCCCTTACCACAGAGGTCATGGAGAGCCATCCACTGCACCCGTACCCCTGTCTTTGATGGCCACATGACCTTCCTGAGGTTCAATAGGGAGGACAATAGGGGTTGGCTAAGGTAACTCTGTGAATTGTGACATCGCCTTTGGCACTCAGCCCTCAGCCCCATTTTTTTTGTTTCTCTCTAAGGAAGCGAGAGGAGCGACCTCAACACCCTGTCAGCTGTGAAGCCATCAAAGCCATTGCTGAAACCCTCTCCATTCCTGTCATAGCCAAGTAAACCTCCCTTCCTCATCATTTACTTTATATGCCCCATGTCACTCAGAAGAGATTTGAGCTGACATATAAAAATGGAACGAGATAGCATAAAAAATGAAAGGAAAAGGAAAAAAGGGCGGGATGAAAAATAAAGTTGGGAACGAGGCTGACAAGCACCTATTATGTCTGTTGGCCTCTGGTGAGTAGCTGATGTAGGTATGCAGTAGGCAGGGGCCCAGGATGGGTTGAGGGTAGGAGTGTTCAGGGGACAGGGAGAGCAAGATGGTGGCCACTGAAGCAGGCCCGGGGAAGGTGATGTCACACCAGAGTTAGGTGTGCAGGGTGTAGGCTGAGGAGGCCCAAGCCAGACCACATAGTGCTGTGGCTCAGGGGTCATAAGGCCAAAGCCCAGACAAGCATTCTGGGCAGCTACAGGTCCAGGACTGGCAGGCGTGAGGTACCGATGACCAGCCCAAAGGCTTAGTAGTAAGACAGTGTACAGTTGCCTCCGGGGAGCTGGCGTGTGTAGGCCAATGGGGAGTCCAGCTCAGCCCTGCACTTTGGGATGGCACCCAGCCTGATGGCAGGATGGGAACAGGGACGTTCCAAAGCCCTGTAACCCTGACAAAAGGCATGCCCGACTGGTGGGAGGGAGGGACCTCGGGGTGGGGGTGGTAGCCAGACCCTGCTTTCCCCAGGCCAAGGAATTTTAAGGGTGGTTTGGAGAGGGTAGGGCTACTCAACACCCTGGACCCTCTTGCTGCTGCTGCTGTCTGAGGGTTCTTCCCTCCTTTCCCAACTCCCAGTGCTGTCTGGACTGAGGCTGTCAGCTGGCTCCTAATGAAACATGAAGATAAAGCAGTTTACAAGGAGGCCTTGGGGCCACAGGGTGGCAGGAAGGGAAATTGCAACCACATGGGGTCTCCTTCCTCTCGTGATCGCCACTGCACCTGCTCCCTTTCTAGTGTTTTGACCCAGCCCTTAGTGGGCATATAGGTGCCCCAGCTTGTAGGGCTTCCTGTATCCCCAGTATCCACTTACAGACCCATGTCTTCAGATGAGAGCGGGCTTTAGCCACTGTTTAGGATGAGGGAAAGGGAGGTAAAGTCTCGGAGACACCTGTTAAGTGCCAGGCATGATTCAGGCCGCTTTCCTGTATTATCTCATTTGGTGCTCCTGACCCCACAGTGGGGTGTGTATTAGAATCTCCAGTCCCCTGAAGTGCTCACAGCTGAAGGACATGTCCAAAGCCACACAGTTAATGAGAGGCAGACCTGCCTTTTTCTGAAAATGCCAGGACAAGGATGGGGACGCCCCTCACCCCCTGTTGCCTTTCAGTGGAGGATCTCATGAGCACATCCAAGAGTATTTGGACATTGAGGACTTTCGACAAGCCACGGCAGCCTCTTCAGTGATGGTGGCCCGAGCAGCCATGTGGAACCCATCCATCTTCCTCAAGGAGGGTCTGCGGCCCCTGGATGAGGTCATGCAGAAGTACATCCAATACGTACGTCTCTGCACTTTTTCTGAATAAACATTTCTCCCTGTCTGTCACAGTCCTGCAGAAAGCTCTGGGTGAGCCAGCAGCCATCAGCTGCCAGCAAGCAGCCCTTGTTGTTCCTCTTCTTTTTTTTTTTCAGTTCTGGTCACGTAGCATTGGGTCTCCCCGGCTGTGATGTGAAGAGAGGGTGCTGTAGAGATGTACCCCTAATCACCTGCTTGTAAAGCTTCCAAGCTTTGGGGTCATGGCAAGGACCTCTGGATCCAGGATGTTGTTGTGGCCCCAAACACATGCCCTCTTCCTCATCCCCCACACATACATACATGCCCATGCACAATGACAATGGGGTCTGTGTCACTGAAGAAACCCATGCCAATAGGTTGGCGCCAGAGCAAGCCACAGCTAGGAGGAGCCATTGTAGCTGTTGTTGTGGACAGATTATCTCCATAGAGACTTCTCGCCTGGTCGTCAGTCAAAATCACTCAAAACTCTTCTCTTGCTAATTCCTAAGATGCTTTAACCCCCGACTTAAGGAATAGCTTTTCCTTCTTACTAGGAGTTTGATGGTAGTGCCAGGGGCATTTCCCTGTAAGGAATTTTTTTGACAGGTTCACCTGTCCTGTCTCTTTGGCACAACCTTGGAACTCTGTGAGACTCTGTGATCAGCCAGGCATGTCTACAGGTAGAGAGACAGTGAGTGGTCCTCAGATTGTTCAGTGACTTGGGCATGAGCCCTTGTCCAGAGCAGACTTCCACCCTCCTCTTCAATCCTGGGGCTCACACCCTCCTGGGAGGGTTGGGAGCTTCTCAGATGGCTCTTCAAGCCATGGCCTTGCCTGGGCAGTTGTGGCTGCCATGGCATGTGGATATCCTCAGGGCTGTGTAAGCTAGAGACAGTAGGAGGCCTAGAAACTTGTGTCCAGAATTGGGCAGCCTCTGTCCTAGAGTCTCCCTTGCTCGACGCTGCAGCCCTCATCCCTTGATTCTGGGTGTCCTGTTGGGCAGGTTGGTGACCACCAGGTTCTCCAGTGGCCTGGGTCAGCCAGAGGCAAGGGGGCTTGCTTCAGTCCAGGTCAGCTGTCAAGTTCTTCTGGCCAGCTGGCAAGTCTGTGGCAGAGAAGACACATTCAATTGTGCTGAGCTTGCTCACTGGGTGAAAGGTGATGTTATCATTCCTTTTCAGCCTTGGCAGCGCCTCAAGAGTGTGTGTTGTCCTGGAGAAAGGGAGCGGTTTTCAAGCATAGGGCAGGGCTGTTTCTGGTCCAGTCAGGTGCCTTCTGTTCCAAAGAAACTGAATCAAGGCTTTGCTGCCGGCTGGGGCTTACCCACGTATCCCTACTTTGTCCTGCGTGTGCCATGGCACCTTCCCAGGCACTGAAGACATAGGTCTAGTGGTGATATTAGAAGAGTGTACAGGGCAAGAGGTTGGAGGGGGTTCTAGAGGGCTGGGACACCCTTCATCCATACTCTCCTACCTGCCCCAAGCCAACTAGTTGAGCTTCTACTGGGTACCCCCAGGCAGCCAGTTTTCTTGTCTCCCTGAGCCTGTACTTCCCAGTCTGTGAAGCAGTGGTAACAGTTGCATCTCACACTTGTAGAGCTCAGTGAAGTGACAACACATGCTTAGTAGATGACGCTGTTCTTTACCCAGGTAGGGGAATTTGGAGAAAGGCCATTTAAGATGTGGCAAAGGAAGGGACTCGCTGTGGTAATAAGGAATAGAAGACTCTTACCCCTGTCCTGGGGCTGGTTCTGCCACACCAGAATTTGGCTTGTTCCCTCTCCCTGCCCTGGAAGATGCTTAACAGCAGGTCCTCTCTGATCGCCTATGGTGGCTAAACCAGGAGGGGCTCCCAGGTGGACATCAGATGGGTTCATATTGATTCTTCTCTCAGGCTGTGCAGTATGACAACCACTACACCAACACCAAGTACTGCTTGTGCCAGATGCTACGAGAACAGCTGGAGTCGCCCCAGGGAAAGTTGCTTCATGCTGCCCAGTCTTCCCAGGAAATTTGGTGAGAGGGGCAATAGGCTGTCCATTTGTCCTTGCAGACATTGCCCAGGCTTGAGCCTGAGCCCTAGGCTGACTCTACCAGGGGACCAGTGACATAGCTTCTGGAGATTGATGTACAGGAGTCCGGTGGTGTTATGGCTTTGCCTCACAGAGGGGGATAGTTTCAAAGCTGGAACTTTCTATACCTGGAGTGATCTCAGCAGCAGAGTTTCAGTAACTAGGGCACGAGTAGGATGGAGGAACGTGAGGGCTGGACTTGGGAATTCCTGGGGAGGAGGGGGCATTCCTAATAATAGATCTATCACACTCTACGTCACCAAGATCCAATGTCCAGAGAGTTAGGGCTGTAGAATGGAGCTCTTGGCCCGAACCTGCACCCACACCCCATCACTCTATAGTCTGAGAGGCCACCGCTTGTTCTTTAGACCTAGTGTATCTCCAACTCAGGTGGTTGACAGTTGGGGCCCCTCACAACTTGACCTAGTGCCTGCTCTCACAGGTCCCTATTTACTCTTTTTCCTACCTCCACACCTGTGCTTGTACTGGGTCTTCTGTCTGAAGGCTCTCTCTCCCCCTCATGTTGGTTGTCTATATCCTCCCTCCTTCAAAGAAGCCTTTCTGAACCACTCACCCCCAGACATCCACCTTCGTGATTGTCCTCCAGCCCTCAAGATGCTTCATAGAAGAGAAAAGCCAGAACCCTCCTCCTTGTCCTGGGCTTGTGGTGTTGGTTCTATCCCTACTCCACCTAGCTTACCCAGCATGACCCAGGTGTCTTGTGAGTTCAAGACTATAATTTTTGAGAGTATAACTGTAGCTCTGGGTGGTACCTTAATTTAGGTGAGCCCTAACTGCTGTGGCCAGGGCAGGAAGTGGGGAACCACTCAGTGGTCTGGGCCTTGTCTCTTCCTCCCATGGGCCCACATGAGGATGAAGCTCTGCATACCCTCCAGCGCTTGCTCAGTGTAGGTCAGCTCACTCACTGCTGGCTGGGGACGCCTGCCTGTGTGCTCTTCCTTGGAAGAGAGGCTGTGCTCTTGTGGTGGAGGTGACCTTTAGAACCTTTTCTTCCCAGCCCTGCCTGCCCGCCAGTGTCCACCCTTAGGGGCCCATATTCACTGTCCATCTGCCAGTCCAGGCTGATTCCAGGGGTGGGTAGAAGTTACCTTCTGATGGCCAGGTCCTGGTGGTGTTTTGGTATATGGTGTGGGGATGGAGGCGGCATTTCTCAGTAGTGGGGCCCTGGGTTCCTGCAGTAGTTCCCTGGAAGCTGGCTCCACTAACGGGCTTGCCCCGCTCTACTTGTCTCTCCATAGTGAGGCCTTTGGCCTTGGTGCCTTCTATGAGGAGACCACAAGAGAACTGGATGCCCGGCGGGCTGAGCTCTTGGCCAGGACCCCAGAGGAGGCGGGGGAGCCAGCTCAAGACACTTCTGGTGTGATTAAGATGGCTGTCAAGTTTGACCGGTAGGTCTCTGGCTTGGCCTCAGCTTGGGTCAGGGCCAAGCTTGCCCTTGGGCTGCCTGGGCCAGCAAGCTGGCTGCTGTATATGTTTAATGACAAGTTTAGTGACCACAAGTGTCTTTGGTTTGGACAGTTGTATTCAATTTTCAGCAATCCAAAGGCACTTTGGAGAAGATAGTCCCTGAAAGCCTAGGCAGTGCTGTCAGGGTTGTGCATGTTGTCCCAAGGGTAACTGAACTCTACCTTTTCCCTGACCCACCCCCTCCCACAACTCGGGTTGAGAGGACTTGTCTCCTTCTGTTCCTGAAAGTCTGTGCTTTTTTCCCTGGCTCTGAGGAACGAGCTGCCTGCAAAGAGCTCCCCAACAGCAGCAGCAGGACCCTAGCCCTCATCTGGCTGTGCAACTCTGGCCCACACCCACTGTCCCTCACCAGCCCTGTCGTGTCCTTTCTAGCCAGAAGTAGCCTCAGGCTAATTATTGCTTCAGACGGTGACTCAGCTTTGATTGGGGCACTCATCCTTGTCCTCTGCAATCTGGGATCTGAGCTTTTCTCAGGTCCCCAGGCCCAGACCAGGAGCCAGACTTGTCTGGCAAGGGCTTAGGAGGAAGGGTGTGGGAACAGCTGTTGGGAAGCCATATCCAGGCAGAGCTCCTGTTGGGAAGTTGGAACATGGTGCAGACTAACTCTGAAACCAGAGTTCACTCTGTGTAATGTAGCAGTGGGTCATCCTGACACTTGGCAGACATAATTAGGGTGGGCGCCAAGCTATTGGGTTGTCGGGAAAGTCACGATGCATTTTGCATTGAAAAACATAGAAAAATACATCATGACTTTCCCAACGACCCAACAGATCCCTGAGACGGTTGTAAGGCCACCTGTGTTCCCCACCCCCACCCACTCCTTCCTGATCTTGTCTTAAGAGGTAAACCAGACCTTCCTTCTTGGCTGTTTTCCAGGCTGGAGCTTACAGGGCTGGGAGCTCACTTCCCACCCTAATCTCCCAAGCATGCTGAAGCCCATCTTCCCTTTAGGGAGAACACAGGGCCATGGTGGGATAGAAATGGGAGGTCAGGGGAATAGTACAGGAGTCTTAAGGCAGTAGCCTGATATCTCAGTTCCTGCAGCTCCTGTCAGGAACTGAGTAGGGGCCCTGTTGAAGAATGGAGTGGTGATGGTGTGGGGCCCTGACTCCTTCCCCTTTTTTCTCCAGGAGAGCATACTCACCCCAGATCACCCCCAAGATGTGTCTGCTGGAATGGTGCCGGAGGGAGAAGTTGGCACAACCCATATATGAAACAGTGAGTTCCTGGCTGTGACCTGCCCTGCATGCAGCCCTACAGCATTCCCATAGCTGGTGCCATCGCCCCCAGCTTACCCACAGCTCGTACCCTGGACTCCAGACTGCTTGGCTGGAGCTTGGCTTTGCCCTCTGTGGACACGAAGCGGTTACTGGTGGCTGGGCCAGTTGCTGATAGCGTCTTCCCTTTGATAGTGGGCCTGTTGTCTAATTCTGGCCACTTTCATAAAACTGAACTAGAGACCTAAGTAAGGTGCTGCTTGGGTCAGTCCTTGCCAGTAGTATTGCTTAGGCAGGGGAGATGTCTCTGGAAATAGCCAATTGGCTTAGGAAGGATGCTCAAACCTAAAATATTAGACACATTTTTGGACCAGACCCCAGACATGGGGCCCCTCGTTGGAAATTTTGAGACAGTATTGCTTCACCTCCTTTGGCCATGCCTTATTTAGGTTGCTCTGTCTCTTTTGAACTGGACTTCTGACCTCCAGGTCTTGTGTCTTCCTCTGCCAGAGTGACATTTCTAAAGCGAATCTCTCCTCTATCTTCCTTGCTCACGTCCTCATCAGCTCCCCAGTGCCTTTGGGATCAAGACCTAGTGCCTCATCAGCACAGAGCACGAGACCCCCAATCTGCCTTTATGCTTCAGGTCTCATCCACTCAGCTGTCCTAAAATATCACCTGGTCTCCCTGCCAGATGTATCTTCTTTGCCCCGTCTTGTCCCCTCTCACCCCGTTGCCATCTGGTGACCTCCTCCTTATTTTGGGGAGCTGGCCCATCCAGATGTCAGTAGGAGGAGACTCGATAGTCACGCACAGCCAAGGGCTCTGATGGCCTTTTGCTTAGGTCCATGACAGAACTCCTGACACACTGTGGTGTCATTGTTTGTGTATCCATCTTTCTTCCCTGGAAGATGTACCAGGCGCTTCTGCTGGGGAGGAACATGTGGTACGGGTGGCCTTCATTTGACTTTGGTGGGAAGGACTCCCTTTTCTCTGCCTTCGATGTGACCCCGGCATGTGGGCCTCCAGGGCTCGTTCCTCTTGCCCTCACGCAGCCATCCCAGTTTCCTTTGCAATCTCTGCACCAGGTTCAACGCCCCCTGGATCGCCTCTTCTGTTCTGTTGTCACTGTTGCTGAGCAAAAGTTCCAGTCCACCTTGTGGTAAGTTTCCTGGTGGACATGAGGCTTAGGGTGGGGGGTCTGATCCTAGCATTGGCCTGGGAGGGTTGGAGTGCCTTGGTAGTGGCATCCCTGGGCGATGGCCCCTTCCTCAGTTTTGTCAGAATCTGTGCCAAGGGTGTTGTAGAGTCAGGCCTCCAGCCTTTAGCCTTGCAACCAGTCTGCCTACCTACCTGCCTTATTGCCCCATGCCTCATCTGCCCAGGGACAAGTCCAAGAAACTTGCGGAGCAGGCTGCGGCCATCGTCTGTCTGCGGAGCCAGGGCCTCCCTGAGGGTCGGCTGGATGAGGAGAGCCCCTCCTTGCACAAGCGCAAGCGGGAGGCTCCTGACCAAGACCCTGGGGGCCCCAGAGCTCAGGAACCAGCAGTGCCTGGGGAGCTGTGCAAGAAGCCCTTTGTAGCCTTGGGAAATGGTAAAGAGAGCCCCGTGGAAGGCTGGTGACCACTGTCCCTACCTTGATCACTCCCTCCATGGGCCTGGCCCTAAGGTGACTGTGGGGACAGAGCATGAACCAGAAGACTATTGGACAATTTGCTGCTCCTGCCTGACAGGAGTTATGAGGTTCTGGCCTGGGCCATCAGCCTGGAGCATGGGACAAGGTGTGCCCAGAGTGCCCATCTCCCTTAGTAGGTCTGAGTAGCAGGACCAAGTTCCTAGCGACTCAGTATTTTCTTTGAAAATGGGCTATTCAGGTGGCACCTCCCCAACCTGACATTGGTACAGTGCAATAAAGTCATCCTCTCCACCCTTACCCACGGCTGGCTGCTTCAGCCTTGGGCTTCACATATGGACTGATGGCTTGGTATAATTATCCTACTCCCACCCTGTGTGCAGAGCTGGAGCTTCCTGAAGCTTATCTCCTACCCATCCTTAGGAGTCTGGGTGGAGGTGGGGGACAAGGTATCACCTTTAATGCTCACTGGACTTAAGCTGAGTCAGGAAGGCTAAGAAGCCCATCATTCTACCCATGGTAAACCTAAGGCACTGGTCATCAGTTAGCTTTTCTGATGAGAGGCGATATGAAATCTGGGGGGATGACTAGGGTATCTTGTGCTCTAGTAAGGGACCAGCTCAGGTGAGTGGGGGTGCCTGCTCTGTGCAGAAGACACTGGAGATTGCTGATGGCAACAATTTGGGGCCCTTGTGATTGCCCGCCCACACCACTGCCCCCCCTCCACCCCCACCATCCCGTTTGGGCCGGAAGGAAGTGGCAGATTCTCTTTAATTTCCTCCTGGCAGTGAGAAGCAAACAAACGGCTACCACAACTTGTGGGGCCACCCCCGCTTATTGGGAGGGGCGTTCTGACCAAAGGTCCCTGCCCAGTGCCGCCCCTGCTTCCTCAGCTGTAAACATGCTGCTTCTCCTCCCCTTTTCCAAGCTCTGTGGGGAGCGGGGGGATTCACCCTCTGGGCCAAGGCCATTTTCCTCCCATCTCCCCAGGTTCAGGCCCCGGCGCCAGCTAGCAGCCCCTGGCCCTGCTGGCCTGAGTCAAGGGTTGGGTGGGTGAGGCTTCTGTCTCAATTCTGGAGCACCCCTCCCGGCACCCACATTGCTCTTCTGTATGTAGATAAGGATATCGCACTACCAGTGGCCTTCCAGAGCCCATTGCTATCTGACCTTGGGCAAGTCACTTCTAGTCCCCTCTGTGCCCAAGGGCCCTCCTCTGAGAGTAGGATCACCTGTTCTCTGCCTGCTTGAAGTTGGCTGGAGGATAAATAGACTAGCCCTGTGATAGGGCACTATGTGGCTAATGGGGTCACTCCATGCTGAGGCTGCCCTAACTAACTGCCCAGACCAGTGCTCCCAGAGAAGAGGCCCCACCCAGGCGAGGACTAAGGCTTAGTCCAATCTCAGCCATCAAGCTTTAGGCACATTTATTTCTAATTTTTCTTACAAAAAAACTGTCTTGGTGAAAATATCCCCTTTGCCTTTTCTTATAGCCCAACTGGAACAGGGCAGACAGAGAGGCCCCAGCATACTGAGCCAGTCAGAGCTTGTGGGAGGACCCTGTGTGGGCCAGGTACCCAGTCTTAGGATCCACTTCCCTGGTGGGATTGGACTTTGTCGTCTGAACTCTTTGCCCACCATTGTCGTATCCCAGGAAAACCACTTCTCTGGCAGGGTCAGGTTCTGGGCTTTGGAGAAGGAGAGGCACGGGTAGAGGTCAGCTGCTAAGATAGAGGCTGGAGTATGGGGACTTTGAGGGCCCAGGAAAAGCATTGGAGAGAGGGTCATTCACAGGGGAGCAGGTAAGGGAGGACTAAAGCGTGTTCCATGAGTAAGGATATCTTACAAAGATCCTGGTTGAATGTTTGCCCACAAATGGTCTCACTTTAGCAAACCTCGTGATGCCCGCCCTGGTCTCAGATGACCTACCTAAGACCTGGGACCAACTGGGAGAGCCCAGTTAGGTCTGAAAACTCCACCTACTGTTCTCACCGTGCCCACCTTAAAGTAAGGCTGCTTAGACACCCAAACCCCTCTCTGGACTAGTGGCCACAACACTTATCATCCATTCCAACGACCTTGATTGAGGACTTCCTCTTAGCTCATCACATTTGGGGATAAATGGTTTTGATATGAACACAAGAGGGAGAGATGAGTAAGGCTAGAGAGGGTGGCAGTTCTTTCGAAGACCACAGCAAGAAGACTGAACTTGTGCAGATGAGTGGGGAACCTCTTACCCGTGCAGTCCCGCACCCTTGTTCCTTCCAGGTGTCACCCCTGTTCAGAACTCTTCCCTCTGGATCAAGTCCAAACTCCTCAGCTTAGCATTTGAGGACAAAGTGTTGACCCTGTCTTCTCAGCACTCTGTGCTGACTTTAGCAACTAATTTTCTTTGATCGTAGGTGGCTGGTCTCATCGCCTCTGCCAAGATTGGGAGCTGCTCAAGGGCAGTCCTTATGTTCCCTATGGCCAGCCTTGGCATGGGGGTGGGGAGCAGGCACAGAAGAACCAAACAAGAGCTTGGGCAGGGGGGTTGGGGTGTGTGTGTGTGGCATGGAGAGGAATAAGTTTTCTAAACTCTGACTTTCCTCCAAGGCTCCTGTTTCTTCTAATGTGGAACAAGGAGGGCTGGACTGGGCTAAACTATACAATTCCATGTCTCTGGCCACAGAAGAGTCTTCAACAATGGGGGCTCAGAGCCAGTCTAGTGGCAGTTGATGAAATCGATGGCCTTCCCTAAATCTCAGGCCTAACTGGCATTCACACAGGAGGGAGAGGGGGTGTACAGGGACCCACACAGTTTTTGTCCACCAGCCGGCCCCAGGCTGGGGTTCTATCTACTGCACAGATCCCCTGAGCTTCCTGGTTTCACAGGGATCGCAGAAGTTTGGCGGCGAGTCAGATGGCCCCCTGCCATCTAAAAGAGCTTTGGAGGTGTCCTGAAGAAGAGCTTATTGGGGGAGGACCTGGCCCTAGCTGAGGAAAAGGGGTGGAGAGAGTTCATCTATTGGGTGTGTGTGTGTATGTGTCATCACAGCCTGCAGAGCTCCCAGCCATTTCTGCCTTTCTTACAAAGGTGGTGATATTTTTCCTGAAGTTGGTGCCCACCCCTCATCATCACTCCACGTTTGAATTCTCAGTTTTCTCCAGACCATAAACCTTCCTTAAGACCTGACCCCTTCTAAGTTTTCTTCAGGTGCACGGTGGCTGAAAACACAGCTGCATTACTGAGCATTTAATAGGTGAAATTTTCAAGCCATCTACAGCTTCTGTGGTCCCTTCCTGGCAGTGAGGCTGACAAGCCCAGGGTCTCCCTCTTGCCTTCCTCCTGGCCTGGCTGGTTGACACACTGGTTCAGGTAAAGTCATGTCCAGAGGGCAGACAGGCTAGATAAAGATCCATTTTCTCACCCAGGTGATAACCTGGGAGGTATGTATGTGTGGGGCCAGGGGGATACATCTTGAAATTGCATTAAATTTTATGGGGAAGAGGAGGTGAGCTGGCCAACCTTCTGGGGCCTTTTATTATACCAGGGTCATGTTACATGTACTAATTGGCAGGCCAACCATCTGCCTGGGGCAGAAGCCTGCAAAGTTAGTGTGGCTTTTGGCCTCATAAGTGCCACATCCAGCCCCTCGAGGTTGGAGATTCTTTGAAGGCAGGACAGCTTATTGGGAGGGTGTTACACCCACTTAATGCCATTTGCTCCCTCTACCACTGTTATCTTCTGCCTCTAACCTCTTCTCCCCCAACCCAATCCAGTGATTCATCCAGAATTCTGACCATGGCAGTCCCCTACTCTAAGCGCCTCTGTGGCTCCTTACTGTCCTCAGGATAAAGTCCAGATACCCTGCAGTGGCTTGCAGCACTGTCTATTCATCCAGGCTTACCTTTGGCTTTTGCTCATTACAGGTACTACCCTGGTCTCCAAGTCTTTGGAAATCTGTTCTCTATCTGGAATCATCTTCCTCACCTCTTGCCCATCTCTCCAATTTGTGCTTAGCCCTGTGGAGAACCTGTAGTCAGGGGGATTAAGAACCTCTGAGTTCCTGGCACAGCCCTAATCTCTTTGCATGGTCACTATAGATTTACTGGCCTCCTCTCCCCCACCCCTGAAGGGAGACTAATTTACCTGTGTCCCCAGGTCTAGTACAGGTATGGGTACAGAGCACCAGGCAGGAAAAATTTTCCGACTTCAGGGGTGAACCAATCAAGATAAATGTTTCACCTGCTCTGGACATTCTCTATCCTCCTGATCTAGGGCCTACTTAGGCTCTCCCTAAGGTTCCTTGGTAGCTCTGGTATCATATATTGAGAGGTCTCCGCAAGGCCCTCCACTTTGCCCCTCTTCTCCCAAGGACTTTTTGTGGGCAGTGTGGGATGTGCCTGGGCCCTTGCACTTGCACCCAAGCCTCTGAGAAAGACAGCGTCCTTGGTTCCTCCTCAATGCTCTAGTAGGGATGCTAGACTCTATGGAGCCTGGAACTAGGGGAGTCCGTCACCTCTGCCTCCCAGCTCCCAGTCGACACTGAGCCTTGGAGCAGCCCTAAGTAAACAAGCCAGGCTCAGCGTCCCCAGGCACGGCCTCTACACAAAGTCCCAGGAGGAGGCGTTTTAGGTCGTCTGGGGGGGCGGAGGAGGGTAGACAGGCTTGCTGGGGAGAGGCCAAGAGCGAAAACGGCTCTTCAGACACAGTGTCACTTCCTCTCCACGAAGAGCCACTCGGTTTGGGTAGCGTAGCACGATCCCTTCTGCTTTCATGGATGTGCACTGGGGTGCAGAGACCAGGGCCCGAGAGTGGCGCGATCTCCTGATGGGCTTTCCTGCTCAGTCTCCCCAATTTCTCACAGGGGACAGACCATGCCCGTCGGGTTTTGCTGAGGCCTTGATTCGCCGGCTGTCCTCGAGGGAGCAGCTGTTAGGCCGGCTCGTTGGGACACACAAAAGCTCAGCCAACGAAGTGCGGGACCCGCCCCGTAGGGGTGGGTATGCAGAGGCGGGGAGTTCAGACTCGGGACTCGTAGCGCAGCCCAGGTCTCCTCTGGCTGCGCGCCACCCTAGCTGGAGGCTCGGCCTGGTCCCCACCTTCTGGAGACCCCGCCATTAGGGTTGGAGTTGGGGCGGGGAGGTGAGGGTGTGAGTGTTATCCACGTAACCCTCCGGAGCCCTGATACCTCTCCCAGCTAACAGAAGCAACAGCAGCAGCTAGTCGCCAATCCTGTAACACCAGGGCTCCCGCTCCCCTTCCTCGACGTGAGCTCCGCCCAATAAGGAAAGGGACCTTCTCCGATTGGCCGGTGGTG